GGAGAGAGCGCACTCAGAGCTCCGGAGTTCCCTCGAAGAGGGCTTCGCCAGCAACCGGTGGAGAGGCCTGGCTTGGTGGAAGTTGTTCTTGCGGGTGGATGATGTGAGCATGCTCACGTCTGAGATTCTGGAGAGACGGTATCTGCAGGGGGCTGAGAAGGAGGTCATTTGGACGGCGGGACAGCTCCAGCAGGCAGGCCTGATGGATAACCCGGAGCACTTTGAATTATCCGAGCTTAAAGAAGGAGAGCAGCAAGCGCTCGTGGAACAGACATCTCCGCTCGTGCCCTGGCCGGTACAGATCTCCACTAGCCGCACGCGACTACTCAACACAACGGTACCGGCCCTGCAGGCGCTGGCGCAACGGTTGGTGCTGTTCAGCATGTCAACGACGACGCTGACAACTGCGCTGTCGGGATTGACCTATTTCTCGTTCCCCACGGCGTCTGTCTACGAGACGTGCACATTGGCGGCGGTGGGACTGGTGTACTCGCTGCGCCGGCAACAGACTAAGTGGGAGCGCGCGCGCGAGTTCTGGGAGGACGAAGTCCGGGAAGAGGGCCGGACGGCTTTGCGATCGACAGAGGAGCAGTTGCGAACGCTGGTGCAGGAGGGCGGCCGACCTGCTATCGAGGGCACTGAAGATGAAGCGCGCGAGAGCATTGAGCAGGCGCGCAAAGCCGTGGAGGATATGGATGTCAAATCTACAGACCCTTAGATTATGTACAGAAAAAATAAGAGACAGGAAGTAGTAATGTACAATAAAGAAGAGCTTCGATCAAGTCAATTCCACACTTCCCTCAGGAACACCCTGCCTACTGCGCAACCTGCGGGCAAAAAACTGCATAACGGGCAACATCTCATCGCGATTCCGCGGCATCGTATCACCCTTCCTCGCATACCTATGCGTCTCCACAAACTCAAACACCTGCTTCGTACGCTGCACAGCATTATCCGTAACAACCGGCGAATCCCTCCCCGAAACCAACAACACCGGCGTCCGATTCTTCGCCGCTACCATCGTACTCCCAGACAACGGATACGGCGCGCCCACCGAAATCACCCCAGACAACGACTTATCCTCCTCTGTCTCAGATAACCCCAACTCCTTAGCAACGCTCAACCCAAGCATCCCCCCCTGCCCCAACCCAAGCACCAAAATCTCCCTCAACCGATACCCGCACTTCCCCACAAGCACCCCCCTAACCACATCCTCCATAATCGTCTTCATCACCCTCCCAAACCCAGCATCCATATCTAACCCGCCGGCATTATCGAACGTCACGTCGTCGCCCCAGTGGAAACCGGGTAGGTCGAAGGGGAGCGGGTGCGGGGCTTGGAGGGTTAGGATGGTGGTTTCGGGGAGGTTGAGGGCGCAGGCTAGTTGGGTGAAGGAGGGGGCGGAGTCGCCAAGGCCGTGGAGGAGGAGGAGGATGTTGGGTGTTGGTTGTGAGGATTGGGAAGAGGATGTGGAGGATTGGGGAGGGGTAATTGTGATGGTGAGGTTGGAGGGGAAGTCGGAGGGGTGGGGGGTTTTGGTGGGCATTTTCCGTGGATCTTGGGATTTTTTGCTTGGGGTCGTGTATAAATTGAGCTCGAAGCTTTGATATAGGGCTCGTAGAGTGATGTTCTGGTTGGATTCGTGGTTGTCTTTTTTTCTAGCTGATAAGAATCTTGGATGAAGCTGATTACCATAAACGGTATGGTCTGTTATTCTGCCGCTTGTCACCGCCATATCTAATCTATACTCTTCACTGTGGTAACTTCTCGACGCATGTATTCACTGGGCTGGCCGATCTCGAATTATTTAGTCTAACAAGCCGATGCACTGTAGATAAATAGACAACACGCCCGCGTTACCGTTAACCGGCGTGATGACTCGCAGACAGCTTATGCGACATGGACGTGTCGCTACTACTTTGAATACACATCGACTTAGTCTCTATTATATAAATATTATAAAGAGACTGCATTCTTGTCGAGAGCTGACTTACTAAGTTACCCTTCGACATAAATATGCTTGTTTAAATCAACCCCCTTCATAGAGGTCAAGAGACCTAAGGTGTTTACCATTGTGGCTAAAAGACAGGCAAGCGGCTGGCAGTCTGTCTATGTCCATAACGACGACCACAGCAGGTTATTTGAAAGGACGGCTACAAGCCCTAATTTGAACCAGGCGACTCTGTCTAACAGGAGTTGCAATCAGCAGCTGCTACCCCCTTGGTCTGCTCTGCTTTCCATCAGACATTTACTGTGTTTAAGCGCAGGAGCACATGAATCGTGTAGACTGCAGGGTTGATGGTGTAATGCCTCAGCCATGATGCATTTAGATCCTGAATGGACAGGTTCGAAGGTTTGCATGGTCCAGAATAGTGTTTCACGTGATACCGTGGCTGATCAGACTCTAGGGCCAGATGACTGATGAGTGGCCCTGGCCCTAATTAATGTTTGCGATGGCCAGGGTTTATCCCCGATCTTTACTATGGACTCATTTGAGCAGAGTGTTCCTTAGCCAGAGGAATTACACAAGATGCCCGTGGATTGCTGAACTCGAGGATGGATACGCCCATCGCCTCCAATACCCCTACAGTGCCGGGTATACAAGCCTCACTACTGTCCATTGGACCCGCCTCGGCAACTCACTCCAATCGACTCCGTTTCTCATCACCCAATTCAAGCGCAGGGCTCGACCGCAGAATGGAGGGACAACCACGCTGGTATCTGCGGGCAGTCCAAAACAGACCTCCCCGTCTCTACGGGATCGTTGCGGTGGGGAGGTATATGCGGTTTTACAAGTGGGATAGAACCACGTGGAACATTCAGTTTTGGGGTCCAAACACGGGCGATGCATACCATGTCCTTAGAGATCGCTCGGCTGTAGCGGCAAGGCTACGACACACTCGAGTACACGAAAGATCATCCTAGCAATAGACTAGGGGTGAACACAACTGCGCCCAACTTGGGCCAGGTTTTAGGAGCAATCACCGGCTGTATGGAATCACTGCGGTAGGGAGTTAAATTCGATTTTCCAACGAGGTCATAAGACTAGAAAAGTTGTGCTTTGGGGCACCAGGACCATGTCGATGATAACCGCGCAATGATCTTGAGGTACTTGAGATACAATTACCACGCGAATACTAATCCAGCAATGCAAATACCTGGGCACACTGCGGGGAGACAATCGCCGGTATGGGATAATCGTCATCATAGGCTATGTCCGCTTCTACAAGTGGAAATGAAGACAAAGAACATTGAGTTTTGGGGCGACCCGGCTGAGCATTACCATATACTCAAGAACCGCACTGAAGTCGCGAGTAAGTTGCGGTACATCCGGAGCAATCACTGAATAGGTAGTCTGAACCAGAATGCGCTATTCATTGGCCAGGAGTGGGATCTTGTGCGCTATCCCTAAACCATGGTTGTCCGTGACAATCACGTGTTAAACCGCGAAAGACAACCTGGGATACGCTTCTAAAAAAAAAAAAAAAAAAAAAATTCTTTTTTGTTAGAATAGTTTATTAGGTTGAAATAGCAATCCATCTCTCTCTAACCCATAGTAACGACCTCTTGCACTTTATCGAGATGCTTCAGAATATATTGCCGCCAAGCCAACCCTCCTGACATGGCCGGAAGTTGTCCAAGTTCTTCCAATCCCAGACACAATAACTCCCAGTCAAGTGTCTCCTCCATTATCTTTTCAATCTCATAGAAAAAATCAGTCGGAAATCTAGAGCGCCAATAACTGCCACCAAGGTATATCCCTATAACATCCTGCACCTTAACGACATCTGACGCTGGGAGGTTGTCACATAAGATACACAATATCTCTGCGGGAATAGTGGAAAGACGACAATGGTGATCAAGAAGGCTTCTGGATCTAACCCGCTTCTTTATCCTGCGCCGGGCCTTGGTATTAGAGTTTGGATATAATTGATACACCCGGGGTCTGATAGAGTATAAATACTCTGATGTTAATATATATAATCAGTCAGGTGTCGCAAGGGCCGTTGGAATCCTTACCCTTCGTGCTCATGAGCGTACGATCAGCTTCGCTGATGTCAGTACCATACCTCCAACCCCTACATTCCCGACATAGGATATCCAGAATCGTTTTTAAATCAGTCTTTACCATAGTCCCGAGGACCCGGTGGTGGCAAAGCATTTCCCAGCAAGGCACGTGAATCGGGTAACCAAGCAGTTCTTGGTCTGTAGGCTCGTGGGATGGCACATGAACAGCAGGCAGTACGAATCGATCTTGTTGCAGATCCATCCTATACAGATTGTCTATACGGCCTTCTTCGCTGTTCCATGAGACTTCAAGTTCGTCAGTCGCATCATAATCGTTGTGGTATGCTATGCCTGATATTTGACATTCGTTCTTGCGTGGCTTCAAGAGAACTTTCGATATTATCAAAACTAGTCAGTTCCTATTCGCCAATGTGGTATTCGCTGGACGTACTCATGCGATACAAGCTCCACCAAGAAGCAGGGCTCCAGCGCTCATTCATGATCTCGCTTGCAGTGTATATTCCCGCGCGAGGGCGGTCCTTGGCCTGTCTAGAGGCATACAGAACTTGCAGCGCGACATTGATTGACTGGCCGCAGATGTGGCAGAGGGGATCAGGCCAACCACATTCATCAAGTGTGTCATATCCGGCACAGTCATAGACATTTTTTCCACATCCCCCATCGATTTCGTCTGCCATCTATCTTGCTTTCGGGGAGCGATATGGGAGATGACTGTAACGGATTACATCAAGGTGATACGCGCATATAGAAAAATTCTCAACGCAACGAAGTACTTATTGAATCGCAACTCTCGTTGGCACGACCTCACTGGCATCGCAAAAGCTGGGGTACATTTAAAACCATTATCAAGGAAAGGAGAAGGAACAAAACCAATAATGTTTTGAACTCGAAGAGCGAGGACAAACATAGTAACCATGGGCTCTACGTGCTAGCCCTATACGTCCGTTATCTAATCCAACCGACTGTAGTGTCTTGAAGGTATTATTATTATTATCATTATTAGTGTAGTGGTAACCTCTATCTTCAATCAACCTCGCAGGCTTTTCCCCTAACCCTTAGAGACGATTTCTTGCACTTTATTTAGTCGCCTCAGAATATACCGACGGCAAGCCAACCACTCTAATCCCTCTGGTATTTCCTGGCGCATAAATACGGTTTTGGGTGCACGCCGTTTTTTATTACGGCTTTGAGTATGCTTGACAACCGGCTTAGGCAAAAGTGCATCGGTAAGGTCGTCAAGCTTCAGGCATAAGAATTCCCAGTCCAGTGTCTCATCCATGACATCCCTCACCTCATGAAACAGATCCGTTGAGATCCTGGAACGCCAATACGCATCACCAATATACGATCCCATGGTTTTCTCCACACTGGCGACGTCTGATGATGGAAGATCATCAAGAATGAAGCACAGTACTTCTACAGGGAGATGGTATAGGCGACAACGGCGATTGAGGCGGCCGTTTTTGAATCTCTTATTTGCCATGCGTCTGGCTTTGTTGATGAGAGATTGGATCTTTTTATCATCCCCTGGATCTGCTAGATGTCAGTAGCCTTTGGCTAGATGACAGGGACCGTTGATCTTACCCTTTACACTCATGGGCATATCATCCACTTCGCTTCTTTCGGTATCATACCCCCATTCTTCATATTTCCGGCGCAGGATAGGCCAGGATAGTCCCCAAATTGGTCTTTGCAATACTCCCAAGAGCCCTATGGTGGGAAGGTAATTCCCAGCAGCGGAAGTGCACCGGGTAGCCGATCAGTCCTTCACACTCTGCGGGATCTAGTGATGATTTAGGGAGAGTAGGCATTGCAAGATGGCACTTTTCCTTAACCATCTCCTCACAGCCAATAACACCCTCTTCACTATTCCATGGAACTGCAAGCGTGGGATAATAATCCCAGTTGTAAAATGCCATGCCTGATGATTGGCATTTCTGGGTGCGTGGGTTGAAGAGAACTAATTGCCATTCAAGAGTCAACTAGCGAAAATAGACATGGTTATCGTGAAGCATACTCAAGACGATACAGAGCGGACCAATAAAGAGGATACCCAGACTGCCCATTAATCAATTCACGGGCAGTAAACACGCCAGGCGGAGGATTGGCCTTTTTCATTCCTGCTACAGACCATCCTATCCCCGACGCAATCCCGACTTCGTAGCCACAGATGTAGCAGAAGGGGCCAATCGGTTCAAACGCACCAGATGTATCATAGTCATAAAGGTTATAGTGATTGTTATCTGAGGAGTTAGAGCCAATGAAGTCCAAGTCCGGATCCTCCATCGTCGCGTTGTCTCAAGGCAGGATGGTCGTTAATTCGTTAATATCCAGACCCCCACCATTCGACCCTCTTTATTGGAGGCCGTATACAGATGACATCAGGGTGATACGTATACAGACTACTTCCATCATCACCAACATTGTGCCCTACCATCTAGAGCTCAGCATGAGTGTTATTGTACAGATTCCCAATAGAGTAACCCCACCAAGACCACCTACAGCCCCACGGCTGAGCCCGATCGATGCGCCACACCGGAAATAGACTGAGCACGTAGCGATTTACGTAAATTGTCCTATGCTCACCAGCCTCACTCCCGATCCCTGAACAGCCGAAGATGAGGGGAAACAGATCGACTGTTTTACCTTTACTCTGTAGGGCACGCGATCGAGGCGGTATGCTCAGAGATCGTCAATTGAGTTTCGGATTTGTTGCTGCCTGGTATTAACTATCCAGTAATATCCATTAAGATCGAGGAAAAAGATGGAGCATTATGAGACAATTTAGCACCAGCCACACACCGCCACGTTATGGTACGGAATAGTATCGTATGGTACTGCTCTGTAGTTAGTACGTTCCTGATTGGTAACATTCGGGTCTCGGAGGTACTCGTAAGATATGCTTTGGATATACTTTGGGACGGGATGGCTTGTATTGTAATCTGTAAAGGCATTCAATTGACTGTTATTCATACCATTTGTTTTTTAATACAGATATCTATATCCCTACTCCATACTCTATTCTATCGCCAAGCTGTATACGTTAGCCAAGTCGTAGGGCAGAGACAAGCCTTTGCCCGCATCTTGGCTACGGTAAGGCTGATCCACCACATACCGATACCAATCATACAGTAGACCTCGGAGATACAATACGGAGGACCCCTGGTATGTACACATACTCAAGTCCATACAGCTCCATACAGACCCATGGTACAGATACTCGCCCCCCATTCTCATTAAACGTGTCCAATAACAACCGCCCATTGGATGGGCAGTGTATGGAGTATGTACTACTCGGAGTAGAGGGCTCAGCTGAAGGCGTGATGTGTCCTCAGCTGGTCTGCGCCATCGGAATCGCAGCTGAGGACTCCGCATGATGGTGGGGTAATGGGACACCTGTACTCCTACTCAATGATATAAAGAGGGGTCCCCTCTGCTGTCTTCTTCTGGATTCAATCACTCACTCACTGACAACTCAATCTCTCAATCCCTCAATCTCTATCTTTTCTATCTATCTTCCTTTCTTCCTACACAAATAACCAACACAATGGCTTGGGGCTGGGGTATGTTCACCCCTCCCACATCCCACCTTGAACGAAGCTAACAAAGCTACACAGGCGAATCCGACGACGCTCACCGTCAGGTGTACGACAACGAGAACAAGCACGAGAGCCACCTCTCCCACGAGGTTCTCGCCGGTGCCGCCTCGTTCGCCGGTATGAAGGCTTTTGAGGACCACCAGCGCAAGCAGGGTACGTTTTCTGTTCCTCCCCCTACTATACCCCTCCAACCCCACGTACCCCTCTATGTCCCACTACTACCCCTCACCAAACAAACACTAACACAACCGTCCTCATCTACAGGCAAGAACGTCTCCCACTCCACCGCCAAGGAGGTCCTCGCCGGTCTCGCCGGTGCCGAGGTCGACAAGCTCGCTGAGACCAAGGGTCTCGACCAGGCCGACAAGGTCAAGGCCCACCACCACGCTAAGAAGAACGCTGAGCACATGTACGATGAGCACTACGTTCAGGGCCACGGTGCCGAGGAGTACAACCCTGGTCAATACCAGCCTCACAAGAGCTTCTCTGGCCGCGGCTGGTAGATTTGAGGTTGATTAGGATTTTTTTCTTTTTGATGATACCTCTGTATATACATATGTCAATGAGGATATGAATAAATCAGACTTGATAAGTACTTGTGTTCGAGTTGAGTATTCTGTATACGTTGCTATGATGGTAGAACTCAGTCCATATGGTTTTGATCATTCGATCGTAGCTTCTGAAATGGTCTTCATGGCTTCCCGCAGCTTAAACGGTCCGTTATGTACATTTGTCGTTGACTTTCGCAATGTATCTCAGAAATCCCGATAGCGATCGAGACACGCATTTATGAAGAATGACAAGTTTCTGTTAAGAGAAATCCTAGTGATTGAGGATCACGCCCCGTAGAGCGCTGGTAGCCCCTTCCTGGCTCCTTGAGATGATTGTATCAAGCTCGCCTGGGGCTTCGTGGTCAGCGTACTATATATCATGTCAGCACCTAAGGAATGGACTGTGGAGTTCAGCACGCATTGCAATGCCGCTGGATGATATGAGGCCTACTTACCAGTCCGCGTTGTTTAAAGACTTCTATGAGAACGCAAGCCCTGCGTCACCAATTATTTTCACTTTCCATATCCATCGTTGAGGTATTGCCCCATTGGATGTCATTGTGGTCGCGTGTAATTTAACATGACATCTAGATCACAGTGCTCTCGTATCTGTACTTTCCATGCTCACTGAAAGCACCTGAACAGCCACTCACAACAAAGTCCAGGTTGGCATTCCTCGGGGAATGTGCGCGGGGCAAATATCGAATCGTAAGTCGACGTCAAGGATCCCTCTCGTTAAGTGGGGGCAAGGGTTGGTCCACTGATGTGATGACTTTGCTTTTTGATGGCACGCGCTTCCATTTTCCACTTTTCCAATGTTGTGTCCCACTATTCAAGATCTTCCGGATCTCTGTTCGACTTTCCGGTCTTAATGTTCAAACGAACCATAAAATCTGGGTAAGGTGAAGTTTCTCCTAACCCGGAACCCTCGGTGCTTGTGGATTCTGACTGCGTTTGATCGCGCAAAGGATCAGCCTCCTGGTCATCATATTTGACCAGCAACAGAGACTAACCAGTGGTCGATTCTGTCGTAATTGGCATTGTCAGATCATCACGTAAAAGAAGGAGCTAGCTGCATTTTCTCATGCACAGTTAACGAGTGTGCTCGACACGCCGACCTCCATGACTATCCTTGCCACATCATCAGCCTAGTACTTGGTGTTGTATGGTTTGTAGGTTTCCTTGTGGGAGATTTTGTCTTAAGCCCAATGGCCGTGGGTTAGACTGGCCAATTTGGTCATTAGAGTTTCGTAGTCCTCATCGTGTCCCGATCTCACGACAATAGTCTGAGAGCGCGCTCTCAATCGAGGTTGTGGGATGAGTGTCATGTTCCAATTGACGATTTGATATGCCTCCAACTCAACGATATCAAAATAGTCGAGAGCTTCGAGAGTTCTCGCCTGATTCTTTGGCGAATGTTGGCAGTTCTCTAAGCCAGATGTCTTAGAAACCCTCCAGTATAGGCACTCTATAGGAGGTATTTAGGGAGATGGAAGTGGTCTAAGTGTCTATAGGCTATACACCAGTCTGTAATGAATTGAATGTAACCTGTATGGTAGACAAAGCTCACATGTGATCAATTCTTGACGAGTCAGACAAGGCGACGCGTGGGGGTTGGGGAGGAAAGACAACAAGGAGAGCATCTAGGTGGAACAAGTGAAGGCCAGAGACTTTGATCTAGCCCTGTAGCATTCGCTGATTATCCGGGTCACCCGGAAGCAATTGATGAATTTAATGCAGTAAATAGAAAACAGCTATAACAATTAAAATATTGATATAGTTCACCTGTGTCTTATTATCACGGGAATGGGATACCGGTTTGAGTCTATCAACGGATCTATATCCCACATTGAGACCCAAACTCAGATCCCTATCCATATTGTGGATGATGTCCAATGAATGGCAAAGCACTCAATGCACGATACGCGGACGTGTCTCCAGAGCAAGCAGTCCTCCAGTAGGCAGGATTCGGTGCAAAGAAAGACTATGGGACACTCTATCCAAGATAGACTGCATGCAATCTTCCTTGGCAATCCTCTGAATACGAAGATATTTTAATAGCTCAGGAGCTAAACCTTCTGTGGATCACGCGAGAATGCAACGAACCTGATACATCCATTGATCCGCGCAAACCATACAGACCATACAGACATACAAACCGCCCCCAAACAATGTGCCTAACCGGAGATATGCGCATGTACGAATGAACATGACGAAGCCGCCCCATAGGGCGATAGGGCGTGCACATCACCCGCGCTGCGTAGAGTTAAGAAATGAATGCTGGATTCCGCCAGTTGGATCGGCATCGGCATATCGGCAAAGAAAATATCCTGTTGGCTCGGTTTCACGATCTCACCTCATCTCATCTCAGTGACAGGTTTAAATAGGCTTGACAGACCATTGACAGATATAAGCCACATGCATAGCCTGTACTTGTACCATGTACAGAATAGGCCAGTTGTCAACTGGCCAATGGCGGAAGGGAACAACAATGGCTCCGGAATGCGGCCAACCCTGGCAACCCGTTAATCAGCCGCCAAGCAAGTCTCGAACAAATGAGATCATCGCATGCGGCACGTGCAGCTTACATTGCAGCGTCGATGCAGCGAGTGGGATTGAGAGAAGGGGAAAAAAAAAAAAAAAAAAAAAAAAAAAAAAGAAAAAACAATAGTGTGTATGGCTGCTATGGTTTATTGTGCCTGATAGGGAGTAAGGGGAAAAAAAAAAAAAAAACGGGAATTTCTCCGGTACAGTGGGAGGGCTTGTCTTTTTACTCTTCACGATGCGGTCGACTGGTCATCCTGAGCTTCTTTTCTCAGCACCAGACCTTCAATAACTCCTTCGTCCTTACTTGCTCTCTCGTTTATTTATTCTCCTATCGCTATATATATCCAACATATATCACTTCATTTGTCAAGGAGACTTTCCCGACTCGTTCTATCGATGCCAATTTCCTGCTAATTCTATACCCCGAAGTCGCTCCGTGACGGCGGCCTGCCCGCCAGGATTCCTACTGCTCCAGGATGAAATTTGCCAAGTTCGTTGTTCTCATGATATATATGCGCGAATTCCCATAGGCACGAACTGACTATATTTAGAGAATTGGAACAGGAGCTAGTCCCTGAATGGCGGGCCAAATACCTCGACTACAAGGCAAGACACCGGAATGATACAGAACACAAAAAAGAACCCGTTTGGAACTCGAAACTAACCGATGCGTCTTTTCTGTGTATAGGCGGGCAAGAAAAAAGTCAAGGCCATTGCGCGCTCTTTGCAAAAAGCGAGTCGCAGTCCCTATCCCCAACCAAACCGTCCATCCTCCCATCATGGCCATAAACGATCTCTGTCCGGATTGACCAGCGAGCAAACCGTTCCTCCAACGCCCAACCGTCCGTCAGACAAGCGGCTCACTCCCACAGATCCGTCGCAAAATAATTACCCGACGCCGTCTGCAAGGTCAGGGAATAATCCTGCATCGTCCGGTCCGCGTTCCACGCCTGTGCCACGTAGCGCAGAGCGTCAACCGCTACACTCCCCGGGGTCGAGATTCTCCGCTGCTGCCGTTGGGAGCTATGGAAGCATCCTCGCATCACCGCAGCATGGCGCACCCACTGCGTCTGACATGGCATCGTTGGAGCTACCCGATCCCGCCATCGACCCTCGCGATGATCAATCCGATAAGATGGACGGCGACGGCGACGATAAGGATCACGTTCATTTCACCACCAGCCCCAGTCGTCCAGAGAGTCGGGGCCCTTCGTCAGTCTCCCCGCGCCATGTTAGCCTCCCTAGTCACTCCGATAAAAGACCATCCATACCGAAAACGCCTGAGCCCGGCGCGACGAGAAGGTCTCAACTCTTGAAGCGAGTCTTCCCCCACCAAGATGCGGATCCATTGACGGAAAAACAAGGGCAATTCGAAGCTCCTCCATCGTCGGAGGTCGACCGGCGTCAGGACGAGTTTTTTGCTTTCTTGGATGAGCAGCTGGAGAAGATCGAATCGTTTTACCACATGAAAGAGGAGGAAGCTTCCCAACGGTTACAATTGCTGCGGCGGCAATTGCACATTATGCGCGACCAACGAGTCCAGGAGGTTGTCGGAGCGCAGAAGAAGTTCGGGAAAAGGAAAAATGGGAAAAAGGACGGTCCGAATCCGAAAGCCCTGACTGGGTTAAACGGCCATTTGGTGAAGGATGTCTTGACGGGACGGAACCGATTCGGGAAAAACACCGAAGCGCTGGCGCAAATGGCTACAACTACACCAAGGACTCTTCAGGCACAGGATCGTGAATCAATCACTCGTCGAAGGGATTTCTCGCGTCGGCCGGAAGAGGAAGAGTTGGATGAAGCGGAGGAGGAAGATGATGAAGACTCGCCCAATGTTGATGTACCATATCGCTCGGCAAAGAGGAAGCTGAAACATGCCCTCCAAGAGTTCTACCGTGGCCTCGAGTTGTTGAAAGGATATGCCTACCTCAACCGGACGGCGTTTCGGAAGATTAACAAAAAGTATGACAAGACCGTCCAGGCTCGTCCCACTTTGCGTTACATGTCGGAGAAGGTCAATAAGGCCTGGTTCGTCCAGAGTGAAGTTACTGAGAACCTGATGGTCGCGACGGAAGATCTATACGCTCGCTATTTTGAGCGTGGGAATCGTAAGCCGGCAATCTCCAAGCTGCGTCGTATCGATAACAAGTCGGGAGATTACTCTTCCAACACTTTCCGCTCTGGTCTTCTTTTAATGGCAGGTATATTGTTTGCGATTCAGTCGTTGGTCTATGTTGGACAACACATGCGTAGTGGGGATCCCACTCTTCATGTTCACACAAGCTATTTACTGCAGGTCAGTCTTCTGCAAAGGACCTGCCGTCGAAAGGTACTAACGCGATCAGATTTATGGAGGCTATTTTCTCGTTGTTTTCCACTTTTTGCTCTTTGCTTTGGTTTGCATGGTCTGGACCAAAGCCAAAATCAACCATGTTTTTGTTTTTGAGTTTGATACAAGGCATGCATTGGAATGGCGTCAGTTATTAGAGGTATGCGAACCCAATATTTGGCATGAGCTTGTCTAACGCGCAATAGATACCATGCTTTTTCCTCTTTCTCCTGGGCCTGTTTATGTGGCTCAATTTTTTAACTGTTAATGCTATGTATATATACTGGCCGGTGGTCCTCGTGGGGCTGACCCTAATCATTCTCTTTCTACCGTTCCGTGTGCTCTACCATCGCAGCAGACAATGGTGGGCATATTCCAATGTGAGGTTTCGCATCTGGGGTGACCTTTATCACTTACTAACGAGAACAGTGGCGTCTGGTTCTCGCGGGTTTATATCCTGTTGAATTCCGTGATTTCTTCCTTGGAGATATGTACTGTTCTCAGACATATGCTATGGGTGTAAGTGCACTTTGAAGTGTCAGCTGCGCAGTACTAATATTCCCCAGAACATCGAACTGTTTTTCTGCCTCTACGCAAGACACTGGACCGATCCACCTCAATGTAATTCATCCCATTCACGCCTTTTGGGATTCTTTCAATGCCTCCCAGCAGTTTGGCGTGCCTTTCAATGTTTGCGCCGGTACGCAGACACGCGAAACCTGTTCCCGCATATGATGAATTTTGGCAAATACATTTTTTCGGTCCTCTATTATGCGACCCTGAGCATGTATCGGATCCAAAGGATCCAGCGATTCGAAGCGACATTCATTACATTCGCCTTGCTGAACGCCGTTTACACTTCAGTGTGGGACTTGGCCATGGACTGGAGTTTAGGCAACCCCTACGCTAAACACCCTCTCCTACGTGAGGTCCTAGCATTCCAGCAGGTATGGGTGTACTACGTTGCCATGGTCCTGGACGTGATCGTACGATTCAACTGGATCTTCTACGCCATTTTCGCCCACGATCTTCAACACTCAGCCGTACTGAGCTTCGTCATCTCATTCTCCGAAATCTGCCGACGAGGCATCTGGACGATCTTCCGTGTCGAAAACGAACACTGCACAAACGTCCTTCTCTTCCGCGCCTCCCGAGACACACCCCTACCATACGACCTTCCCAAACCACCCGAAGAACCCGACCACCACCGACCCGAAGACGTCCAACTCCAAGAACAACCCCCAAGCACCGGTACCACCATCCAATCAAGCCCCAACCCCGAAGACCTAGAACAAGGACCTGTACCGCCAACACCTGCCGGCGCATCCATGCGCACGCGTCGCGGGTCTCGCGCAGCAGCCGGTCTTTCACGCGTTGGATCGATCGTGGCCGCTGCACACGCGCAGGACTTTGAGCGCAGGAAACGGCCTGATCAGATGCATCCTGCTTCTGTGTCGCAAGGGAATGCGCAGACTCCGGAGGATTCGAGTGAAGAGGAGGATGATCCAGGGGATGCGGATGCGGGTGCGGATGCGAACCGGTATGCGGAGGATAATTTGGAGGATGAGTTACCGTTTGGGAGGACGAGGACTCATCGGACGCATGAGGATGATGAGTAGGGTTGCTATGTTTTTGTTATTTCAGGAGGGATCTGGTGTTGAACATTTGGTCGGTAATTATATGTAACGAACTATGGGAGGATCTTTGATTGGTAATGCTGGATTTGGGGTATTTGGGGTGTATATAATGTAGTTATGTTCTAGCCATTTTGCTATGATAATCGTCATACAAAAAGATATGGTTCTCAACTCTTGGCCATCTTCTCTATCGTCCACCTTCAGCTCCCGTCCCTTGATCATACAAAGTGGTCCAATGGTGCAGCAACTCATCCACCTCAGATTCAAGATAAGCCTCAAACTTAGTCGCGCGGTGCGCATGAGTCCGAGGCTCAAGCTCCCAATGAGCTTGTTCACCTCCCAATGAGCTTGTTCACCTCCATATGCAAGCTCCTTTTTATCCTGAATCTCCTGGCCCTTTTGTGACCCAGTATCGCTCCTGTCCGGAAAATCCCCAAGCAACTCGGCAATCGTACCGCTGGGTCTGCGAGGCGGTTCATAGCGGTTGTAGCTATAGGTCGCTTGTGTGTTGTTAGAAGATAGAGCATGGCCATCCTGATTTCGTCGTTTTGCTCGGAAAAGGATTGGGCAGCAAACGTAGTATAAGGCGAGGCAGTAAGTGAGTTCTGAGTCTGGGGGTTGAGCTTGCTGTTGATCTTCGGGGTTGTTGTTGCTGCTGTTGTTTGTTGGCGGAACTGGTGGGAGTGCATATGCCCTTTTAGTAACATACACAGATCCAGTGTTACTTGAGGCAATGCTTTGTGATCGTTGTGGTTGTGGTGTCGGAGAATCTCGAGGTTCGCTAATGCTAGCGGTGCTCTGTGAAGGACCAGTTTTAGTGCTGCAAATGGCAGTTAAACTTACTGTATCTCTCAGTATCCGGGAGGGATTATTCACATACTTTACAGCGTCATCGGGACTCGAATTTGTAGGGTTTGTCTGTCTATACCTTTCCCAGAAGTTAAGCTGTTGTGAAATCAGGTCTTTGATGAGTCTCAGTTGCTCTGATCCCTTTAATGCAGCTCTTGTTTATCAAGCAATATCAGAAGTTCACTTCACAAATGAACAAATGACCGATACCTACCTCTGCTCAGCTTTCATCCTAGCATAGATAACAACCTGCATTATACATTGAAGATTACTCTTCATCTCACTCAATTCCACCCGAAACACCCTAAGACGCGAATTCTGAAGCCCAAACTTGAGCAACCCGACCGTGCTTTCTGCATCCTTGAACATTTCCCGAAGAGTCTCGAAGATCAATGAGCATCTCTCCACTATCTCGTTGGCTGTCGTAATGGCATTCCTCGAGAAAAGCGGCTTTGATACCTGGCCTTCATCTTCGAATACCTTGCCAATTTCTTCGAGAATGGTTGACGTGGTTCGCACCTGAAAGGCTGCGTCTTTGACTTGTTGTTTCCCCGAAGCTGCTGTGTCGCAGAATTTGTAGAGTGTCTGCGCTAGTGTAAAGCCGACTGTGGCTAGTTAGATGATGGATGCAGCGGCTGCTACCGCCTCCATCGTGTTTTCCAGGGGGGATTGTGCTTCCCGAAAAGTGAAGAGGATGGATGTGGTGAAGAGGTGAAATACGGCTGAGGGGGTCGACATTGTCAATACTCAGCCTCAGCCTCGTGATGCGTCCAATGATGGCAGCGTTGTACAAGTAGTGACAGCTTGTTGGAGCAATCGTCAGGAACTTGGAGGGATTATTGACAATACTATAGGGTATACAAAGCAAAGATATATGTGGCCAATAGATAAATATGGTCCAACCCTAATCAGTCACCATGAGATAACATCAGACTGAGCTCATTGTCACGTCCCTAAGCCGAGAGTCAATACCAAGAACATTTCCTTAATTGCTTCCATACTAATTACTCGAATTCTCACGGATATAATAAGCAGCCATGGATAACCAGTTACCAATTCAGGGTGAGTACGACATGGCTCATATATACACTCTCAACATCCTAATTGAGATGGCAATCAGAAACAGACATTCGCAAGGACGTCCCTGAGGAGCTCGCTAAAGAAGCTCTGCGCATACGGGATATGTTCGTTATCGATGAGACCAAACTAAAAGAGATCACCGGTCGTTTTCTTTCGGAATTACGAAGAGGTAGCTTATCCACCATGAAATGGATAGAGCCAATACTAATGATTACCAGGCCTAGAAAGCGACGATAGTGACATCGTACGTGACAACAACCCTTCTTCCCTTGACAAAATACTAACTCCCCAGCCAATGAACGTAACCTGGGCCATAGGCATTCCCACGGGCCACGAAACAGGCACATACCTCACCCTTGACATGGGCGGCACAAACCTCCGCGTTTGCGAAGTCACCCTCACCTCCACCCCCGGCGGCTACGAAATCATCCAGTCCAAATTCAAGCTCCCCGAGGATCTCAAAGTTGGCCTCGCGGACTCGCTCTGGGAGTTCATCGCGGACTGCCTATACCAATTCCTGGAAGAACACGGACAACTTGGAAACAGGGGAAAGAATGAGGTGAAGCTACCGTTGGCATTCACGTTTTCGTTTCCAGTTACGCAGGAGAGTATAAGGCATGGGGTGCTGCAGCAGTGGACGAAGGGGTTTAATATCTTGGGCGCGGAGGGGAAAGATGTCGTGCTGCAGTTAGAGAGGGCGTTGAAGATGAGAGAGCTTCCTGTTGAGATTGTTGCGTTGGTGAACGATACCACGGGGACGTTGATTGCTTCTGCATATAAGGATCCGGAGATTCAGATTGGGAGTATCTTCAGCACGGGGTGTAATGCGGCTTATATGGAGGATTTCGGGTCGATTTCTAACATCGCGCATCACAAGCTTCCTCCAGACACACAGATTGCTATAAACACTGAATGCGGTGCTTTCGATAACTCCCATCGCATCCTCCCACGCACGTCCTTCGATCTCGAAATCGATAATACATCTCCCAAACCCGGTCAGCAAATCTACGAGAAGATGGTCGCGGGTCTGTACATCGGCGAAATCGTCCGCTTAATCCTCCTCCATCTCCACGATTCCTATGGCCTCTTCGCAGAAAGCAACGACATTACCCGCCTCCGCATGCCAAGCGCAATCGACTCTTCTATCCTCTCCAAACTAGAAGAAAACCATTCCTACAACTCTGACTCTTCCACTGAGATCCAATCCCTTTTCCGCGACTGTCTAGGTATTAACCCAGCGTCCTACGAACTCAATCTGTGCTGCTTCGTTGCGGAATTCGTATCTACTCGGGCGGCGAGATTATACGCGTGCAGCATTGCGGCAATCTGTAAGAAAAAGCAGATCAGATCTTGCTCGGTGGGGGTCGATGGGTCTGCGTTTACCAAGTATCCACGGTTTAGGGAGAGGGCTGTTGGTACGTTACGAGAGATTTTGGATTGGCCGGAGGGGGAGGAAGATTTGATTCGTTTTAGGCATGCGGAGGATGGGTCTGGGGTTGGGGCTGCGTTGATTGCGGCGTTGGCTGAGAAGGTGGGGAGGCAGGAGGGATGATGTTGTTGGGTTGTGGTTTCTGGAAGAGTTTATCGATTCAAAGTCCAGCTTCAACTCATACTGTGTCTCCCACACTGTTTTGTCCTTCACTTGGTTATGTCAGGGCATTCACTGGCTAAATGGAAGTGCTAATCATTAAACCCCTATACACCCACCTATTATCTTTTCTCCCTTTGTCCCTTTCTTCTCAATGCCAACACTGCCCAACCTTGTATCTCAACACCATACCATCACCCTTTATCTCAAGCTGAAAGTCAAACGTGAGACGTTCTGTGATTCAAATATCGTCATTATTTTTCAATGAAGCCCAACACTCTTACACCGACCTCAACCTGTGGAACGGCCTTATCAAGACGCAAAGCGGTGTGAAGTTCAGCCTGAAGATTTGTTTTTTGCTAGTTACGGAAGTCCAACTAGAGGACCTACGGAATACCCAGCGGGGATCACCCCGGTGCACTTCGGTAAGAAGCAAATGATATCCCTAAGCGCCCCAGCCGATTCAGATCACCCACAAATTTTCTACACCCCAGAGGAGTTCACGGATGTTGTTCAGCATCTAAACTCAAGCTTCACCTGCCCCATGGCTTTGACTGCTGACGCTACCGATTATTTGTTCCAAATTTCTAACCGTCACCCGGCCGCGGCACAGGAGCTCATGCGGTACATTTATTCAGTGCGTATAACCCTATCCATGTCTTTTACATGGGCTCACATATTCTAGGCTTATCAGCCAAGAATAAAACACGGAGAGATATTAACAGTAGCCCAATACCACGTTGTTGAAGCCCTAGAAAACCATGCCACCCTGTTTAATAGCTTGAACACATACCCCATTTACCGGTCCTTTCCCTCTGCCGACAGACTCACGCCGCAAGCAGTCGGGGTACTACGAGATACGCTGTTGTACAAAAGTATTCCTTGTGACTTGAACCAGCCAGGCGTTCGGTTGTGTTATGAGCAGGGGTGGCTTCACTCGGAGCCGGCAGACCCTACCAAGCCCGAGGATCTCGTCTGCGTCTTACCGTCAAAACTCCATGAAAGGTAAGGTCTATATCTGCACTGGTATTCCAATGCTTCCAACCAAATGAAGCCCAAGTTGCTAACCCTACCAGATTTGTTGAATTTAGCTTGGAGGCGAGGACCCCGGGATTTTTTGTGCATCGAAATCCATGAGATCTTGAGGTTACGTTTGGAAACGAGTATTCGTGGTGAACTTGGTGCCGCAGCGCAGAGTTGACCTCTGGAAATATGCCGCGTTTGATGATCCATTCGCAGCAGTATGGGAACCCGTCAGACTTCCACCAACCATCGTGAGACCCGGTCGAGCAATACGCCAATCTTGTCCACCAGCTCTATGAGCTGATCCATTACAATGGAGGTGCTATATGTGTGTGTTTTAATACCACCACACACCACCACCACAATTCCTTTTCCAACTTGCATCATGCAGCATCCGCGATCTACTCGGGATGTTACTTGAGCTAAACATCTAGGGCATGGTGCATTTATCTAACACCTATCAGATAGTCATGGTCCTAGCGTAAGCCTGTTACGAAGCGACACTGCGACGGAGTTAGGGAGTAGTTAAGCAATACCTATTTACTCAAAATGGACCCAGAGGAAACACTCCAGATTGGATAGATATCAAACACTAGATGATGCCATGTATATATATCCAAGAAGACAACTTCTTATTTATTCGAGTGTACTGAATCTACTTACCATTTGGCGTAGTATCCCTCCCAGATAGTTCTAGAAAGCATTATATTGCACCGATCAAAGATATCTCAGCTTTCCATGGCCCTTTGCAGTTTGCACGATAGAATAGAGGATAACCAAACGGAGTTAATCTACATACAGAGTAGTTTATCTCCGATCCACGTGACATAGACGTCACATGCCAATGACTGCGCCTCGCCCGCCTTACTCCGTATCCGTACTCCGTAGATCATCAACTCCATCGCGCATCCTCTTTAACTGTCACATTTTCACCGATCTTGTCATCGACACATCTAGCACCTCAACACGATTGTTAAATATGGCTGCCAACGCCAGATACGAACAGGCTCCCCAGCGAGACTCCTTTGAGGAACGGGAGTTCTCTCAGCCCCCGCCGTCTTATCAAGCGACCCCAGAGTTTCCCAGTGCGCCTCGCAGTGAGGGAGACAACCTGCCTGATGACTTCAAGGTGTGTACCCTAGTATACAGGAAAAAATGGGGTTGTTTTGGAATCAGAGATGTGCTAACGGAAGTAGTTCGGTGGTACCGTCGCGGAGGCGACCCTTCCCATCCGTATGCAGTTCGTCCGGAAGGTGTATTCGATCTTGTGAGTACTGCCCAAGATTACGAACAGGATACAAATGGGGGAAGGAAAAAAAAAGGGAGGCTAACAAAGGATGATAACAGGACCGCCCAAATCCTCCTGACCGCCGCCATGAGCTCCATCTCCTTCTTCAGCGAGGGCTACCGCACCTGGATCCAAGGCAACTTCTGGCTACTCATGGTCTCCCTCTTCGGCGCCATCGGCTTCATGCTCGTCACCTACTGGAAGCGCAAGAGCTACCCCGCCAATCTCCTCTTCCTGTCCGCCTTCACAATCATGGAAGCCTACTCCATCAGCGTCGTGACCTCGCTCTACGAATCGCGCATCGTCGTGCTAGCTCTTGTGTTTACGCTCGGTATCTTCGTTGCTTTGACTGCGTTCGCGTGCCAGTCGAAATACGATTTCACGAACTGGATGCCGTATCTGTTCGGTGGGCTTTGGTTCTTGATTCTGTTTGGGTTTATGGCTGCGTTCTTCCCGAGAAATAGCACTATGGAGCTTGTGTATGGTGGTGTTTCGGCGCTGATTTTCTCGGGCTATATCCTTGTTGATACGCAGTTGGTTATGCGGCACTACCATGTTGAGGAGGAGATTGCGGCTGCCATCTCGCTTTATTTGGATATCCTCAACCTGTTCTTGGCTATCCTGCGGATCTTGAATAACCAGAACAACAACTGATTTGTGCTGACTGCCATGTTTCAGATTGCAATAATGAGGCGCTTGCTATCTTGAGGTCGTTGATTACTTGTTTGGGCCTACACGAGAGTCATTCATTAACAAAGCTCGCGCCTTTACAGTCTTTACCTTTTCTTTGCTTTTGGTTCTGTCAGCCGCATATTAATTCCCTCTGTCAATGGCTTGTCTTTTCTTTTATAGGGTGCTCAGGTTTCTTTTAGCTCTTATATATAAAATCATACCGTTTCATCTGCCTTCCAACCAAACATCAAAAGCTTACCAGACTGCTCATAAGCGTATACTGAAAGTCAGGCATAGACATCTCAGAAACCAATATTTTCATTAAGCATACTCCAAAAAGCAACCTCTAACCGTAAGAAAGAAAAACAGAAACCTGAGCCTGAATTTAGAGTAGCGAATTTATATAGTCCAAGAAAGAGGGAAAAGTCAAACCAAACGCCTTGCACGGTCGTATCAGCAAAATAATTTCAACAATAACGATAAACACGCTTTGTGTCAGTAGTTATAGCAACGAGCAACAAGGGAATTAATGAATGCAAGTCTAGCTGTAGACAAAAAGACAAGGAAGAAGAGAAACGAAAAGGCTGTAAGCAGTGGATGGGACGAAGCAAGTCCAACAGTAGAATGAAGAAGCAAGGAAGCGAAAGAGAAACTGCAAGTAGCAGGTAAAGCGTAGAATCGAACTAATTCGAAGCAACGAACACGGAATTTGTAACCAGCGACACAATCATAACACAGCCACCATAGACAGCCAGGGCAAGACTTAGTCTGCGAAGCAAGTTTCTACGCCACTGGCGTCGACCATGACGAACGATGCCGCCGTCACTGGGCACATTCTCCTGGGACTGGTGGTCGTTATCGTCGCTACCGTCATCTGCTTCAGTAGATGCGACTTCGTCATCGTCGCCCACTTCGTCGTCTTCCTTCATGAGTCGTTGATGGGATGGAGAGTCGGGGGAAGAGATTCTGTAATAGAAGAGACCCGGGAGGATGAAACTGATGCTAGTGCTACCTGTGCTGCCAACATAGGCGAGCACGGCCTCGAGTGACGAGACGGTCATGGCGGCGATGTAGCTCACAATAAGGACTGACGTCGTGATCACGGAGAAACGCAGATCGCTCATGGGTTCTGGCGAGCGGCTGCCTCTTGAGCCCAAGAGAGGGTGGCGGTGAGGGGAGTTGTCGTTTCCATTCGAAGCCTTGGGTCTCCAGCGCAGAACTGCGTCGACAGAGGCCCGGCATGGGTGGCATTGAAGGGGATATGAGAACATGACGAGGATGACGATGGCGGCCCGTCCAATGGTGGCCCACAGTCCAGGAGGGTACATTCCAATGATGTTCCCGCTCACGCTGTTTCCAAACGAGAGGTATCCAGTAATGGCCACCAGGATATAAGTTGAAGCGGCGCCTCCAATACTAGCAAAGACGACGCTCGTGGTGTTGAAATGGCTGCTGTCGCGGATTTCGTTGAGAATGGAGAACATCTGTGTTCGTTAATTTTCCGTCAAGACGAAGGAAAGACAGCACATAACATACATTTTGGTGGCATGTAAACGCAAAGATAGTGACGGGAAGACTGCTTAGCGTAGGAACAGCACCTGCCCATTGGATGACACGGATCGGACCGCGATCGGCCATCGTATCGCCTTTGATGAAGTGGTAAAGAACCAATACCACCAAATAGCCAATGCAGGCCAACGCGGCGAAACTGGTGTATTTAAGGGAATCCAGACGTCGAAGGTAGGAAAGAGGAATAATGATCAGCCTGTTCAGAGTCAGCATTCTGCCTCTTTGATATCGCAGTCCATGATATGACTGACATGAAAGCTGTTACCCAAAAATGCCTATCCACCAAAAAGTCATAATCCGGCTCACCACCAACGAAACCTTGAACAACTGCCGGCATCAGATCTCCGATGATAATCAAGTAGCTCACCCCGACACCAAAGCACTTGATCGCGATAGCGGCATCGAAGACGACGGAAGCGTTGGGATAGGTGATTTGCGACAGAGCAAAGAACGACGCAGACCCTCTCTCCAAGTATTGAGCACAACGCGACTGCAGATATAGACCGAATCCAGCCGTTATACCGGACCATATAACGACGAGGACACCGAGGACGATTCCCATGTGGGAGATGGCGAGGGGCATCGCCAGAACACCGGCACCGATAACTGAAAAAGCAGACCGTCAGAACAATCAATCTGGCTAGCATAACCAGACAATCCAACTTACTTGTGTTGACCAAGTTGATCACACTGCTAGCCCAACTGGCCTGGCCCTGATAACCAGCGACTTTCCTCCGCGGTCTATCCAAGACGTATCTCCGGTCAGAAAACCATCCATCACACGACAAAACGGACAAAGGAATACACACCTCCATGATGGAGCCCGAGATCCCTCTCCATTGCCGAAACCAGCTGTTACGTCGTCGTCCACCATTGTCGATAGATGGTGGTTGTGAGATGGACCGATATGAGGTGATAAGGATAGCGGTCACGGCTCGAGGGGAATGCGTTAATCAACCGAGGGCGATAATGAGCACAACCACCATAGTGTGTGCCAGTAATAGAGTAGTAAGAAGGAAAAACACAAAAGAAAAGCGAGAAAGAGTGGAGGAATAAATCAGCGATGATAACACGAGAGGAGTTGGCGATGCAGGGATCGCATTGCGTGAGGCGGAGTTGCCGGCGGAAAATGTCGACTTTTTTCTTGGCCGCTTTCCTCTACAAGTACATTTACTCCGGACCTACGGGGTATACAAACAAACAAACAAATAAGAAAGTTATTTCTCATTATTCATTATTATAGCTAAATTCACAGCTTCGACTTCCCCCACCCCGGCTGCTTCAGCAATGCAATCGACTCTTCTTCCACGGTCCTCGTGTCCGATGCGGTGTTTCCGGCGCGCTTTCCAGGACCGGGATCGTTGTATGGGTTGACAGCGCGCACTGTCTTGGAGACTTCCAGGATAGTTCCACCCTTGACCTCGAATTGTTGTCCCTGACCGGACTTGTCACCGATAACCTCGCCGACCTTGTCCTGTTGCACCAGTGCCAGCATCACCTCGGCCACCTCATCGGCGGTGACCCAGGTGTCCGCCCCGTCGATCATCTTCAGCTTCTCCGGATGGTCCGTCCACAATGGTGTCTTGATAACGCCCGGCGCCACACCTGTAACACGAATTCCGAAGAGCTCGTCTAGTTTGGCCATGGAGCGCACGAAACCGCTGATACCGTGTTTGGTGGCCGAGTAAATCGGAGCGGCGAAGGATGCATTCTGGCCGGCGATACTGGAGATGTGAACAATGTGCCTGGGCTTCTGGGAGTCACGATTACGCAGGAAGTGGGAAATGGCGAGTTGAGTGACGCGGATTGGGTGTGTGAGATTGATATCGATCAAGCCGTACCGGCCACCAGCGGGAGAGTCCTTACTGGCCTGGGTTCCAGGAGGCCGCCAGAAGTTGGTCCAGTGCTGTTGCTCGTGATCAGCTAGGCTGCAGTATCGATCTATGAAACACCTGAATGTCATACCGGTTCGTAGATACCAGCCCCCGGACACACGAGGTCGATCTCTCCGAATTCCTTCTCTGCGACCTCGAACATCCGCTCAAGCTGCTGCCAGTCGGTCACATCCGTCTGCTGGAAGACCGCTCGGGAGGTGCTGTCCTTGCCCGAGTGCTTGCCGACAATAAACTGAGCCTCGGGGCGGAGACCTAAGTCCGCAATGAGGACATTGCAGCCGTTCTCCAGCAGCAGACGGGCGAAACTCAGGTTGATTCCTGCAGAAGTTAGAATACTGTACAGGTGAAGTTGCTCTTATCAGATCATACCTGAGCCAGCACCGGTCACAATGGCTGATCGTCCTTTAACCGAGAAAGCCATACTAACGACTGCTACCCAGGTGTAGACGGATGACTGTGATGAACGCGGTGGTACAGGAATTGGGACATGGTAAGCACCGAGTATGGAGTATTTATACCCCGAGCTCATTCACCCATGCTCCATAGCCCCGGCTCGAGTGCGTGGCTGCAATGACCGCAAAGGGCATGAGGGGACTCGCGGGGCAGACTCCGAGAGTAGGTGTGCCGAGCGCGGAAGGAATGCCGGGGTGTACTCCGTAGTACTACTCCGCGTTCTAGATACACTGACCTGTAAAATCACCGTACGGTCTATAAAAAGAGTCTTGCTGTTTGGCTCTAGCTCAGATTGCATTATCCTTGCATCCTGGACAGCCAGCTCATCCGCACGACGTGGTAGGAGCTGGTCCTGGAATCCGTGCATAATCTGGCTGGAGGACCCATTGGGCAATCAGAGTCCATAATAGAAATGCTCCACCGGGTTGGTAACCTAAAGGGTGCAGTGGAGCAACTTATTCTCATCAGTGTTGATTTCCCGGAAGTTATCCAAGCTCATTCTCGAAGTACTATCTACTCCGGAGTAGAAGCAAATGGAATCGAAGCGCAAAACTCAATTGACATCATTTTCCTATCTTGCCATCTTCCTTGCCCTTCTTACTGGTTTGCTGGGGGTATGGTGTTCCCTTTCAATGCAGAGTGCACTCTGTACAGCAGCAGCAGTAGTAGTAGTAGTAGTAGTAATAGTAGTAGTAGTAGTTGCTATTTTACGTCGGAAAAGTGGCACGTGCGCTGGTCACGTGCCCACAAAGATCCCGGAGCGGAATATACGACGGGCGAAGCGGACTCGCCTATCTAGTAGCTAAGCTAATTCTATCATACATGCTGGCAAGGGCTCTCCCGTAGGAGCCCGCCTATGATTATTGGGGCCGCGTTCAGCGGCGCACTCTGTACAGCCCATGTTTGTTACCGAACCTCGTCCCGAGCATCACCACGTGACGGCTGGGCTTCTACAAGGTCGTTGCACAACACGAACCATAGGCAATTGAGCTCCGAAATATCAATTACACTCGGTATCTGTATCCAGTAGACGTACATAGTAGACAAATATGAACAATCGCCGGCTAAATCGACCTCTTGTCGGCTGTGGAAGAAGCGAGCTTTTCCCGATTAGGACTCTGGGGTAAATAGCTGGTCAACCAATAATAAGCTTCACCTTACGCCAAGATCCACAAAGAACCGACCTTTAAGCGGGGAAGAAGAAGCGGCAGGCCTCCATATACGGTAACCAGACCGCCTGGGGTAAGCGGGGAGGTTACCGCATCAAGCAAAGTACCGCCATGGCTTCCGCATGATTCCTCTGCCACTTTAGCTGAAGGCAACATATAAAACCCCCAGATTCTCTTGTTCAAAATGTGACGACCAACAGGCCTATTGTCGATTAACACTTACCAATCATGACAATGTCGAAATTCCTCTCAAAAACGGCCGTCCGGGCCGCTTCCACGACGAGTCCATCGTCTCAAATGACCAAGGCAGCGGGAGACATCTCTTCTGTCTTTCCCAGTTTGAAACCGGATTACCAGCCTGAGCCTTTGCCTCCAAGGTTCAAGGATTTGAAAGCAGACTTGTTCGCGAAGAATGAGGATGCACTGAAGCAGAGCTGGCAGAGATTGCTCCACAGCCTCGACGAGGAGGTGCAGAAGATCAAGGCCAAAGGGAGCGATGTATGATATCAGGTCCCATCTTTCAATGTGATATACTAACGTTAAAAACAGATTATTCCATCAGTAAACTACTCGGACATCATTTCAGGCAATGTGTCTGATGAGATGCTCGCGGAGATCCGCCACCGGGGAACGGTGGTGATTCGCAACGTGATAGACCGGGATACAGCATATGGCTACCAGGAGAGAATCAAAGACTACGCTGCAGCAAACAAAGAGCGCGTAAAGGCTTTCCCTCCAGACTCTCCCGCAGTCTATGAGCTATATTGGACACGATCGCAAGCCGAGGCGCGATCCCATCCAAACATGTTGAACACACAGCATTTCCTGCAGCGCCTGTGGCACTCATCAGATCCGAATACCCAAATCTCTACGAGAAACCCCCTGACATATGCGGACCGCCTCCGGATCCGAGGACCCGGTGATGGCAAGTTCACTCTCGGGCCTCATATCGACGGTGGCTCGCTTGAGCGCTGGGAAGACTCTGAATACTCGCGGGTGTACACCAAGATCCTCGAGGGGAAGTGGGAGGAATACGACCCATTTGACGCCAGGCACCGCGTGAAGGCCAACATGGATTTGTACAATGGTGCTGGAGCATGTTCCATGTTGCGATTCTTCCAGGGCTGGTTGTCCATGTCCGAAACGGGCCCTAACGAGGGCTCGTTGCACGTCTGCCCCATGCTCCGTCACAGCACAGCCTATACTATTCTGCGCCCCTTCTTCGATGTCCAGTCTTCGCAACCCAATATCGACAACACCTTCCCCGGTTCCGTTCCCGGTACCTGCCAGGAATACAACCCTGTTACACACCCACACCTCGACCTAGAAACGACAATGGTGTCAGTTCCCCGTGTTGAGCCCGGCGATTATGTCGCATGGCACTGCGACTCGCTGCACTCCGTCGACAAAGAACACCGCGGAGACAAGGATTCCAGCGTGCTCTACATCCCCGCCACTCCCATGTGCGAGATGAACGTGGACTATCTTCTCAAGCAGCGCAATGCGGCGCTCGCTTATTCTCCCCCGTGGGATTTCCCTGGTGCGGGTGGACCTGGTGAAGCTGACTTCCAGGGTGCTTTGGACTGGTCCTCTATTAACACTGAGGGACAGCGCGCAATGGGTATTGGAAACCAGGGCTGGGAGATTACCGAGGATATGAGCGAGGGTGAGAAGGAGGCTGTGCGGTATGCTAACAAGGAGTGTTTTGGTGAGGCATAAAGATGCAAACTATATACAATAATTGCGTCGAAGTTCTGTATCATAGTTATCTGAAATCTTTCGCATAGGGTCTACCACACCGTTATCTATGATTTCCGTATGTACCAGATCACGTAGAGCCTTTTCTGTGGCGTGCGGGAGCTTCGAGGCAGTCAGACTACAGGAGATATGCTTCTTGCGTTCTATACTATCAATACTTGACTCGCAGCAATTCGTCCCGCCACGTTCAGGTCTCAATTTTTACTTTGGCTACTATAATTGGAGCGACTCGGCGCATTTTGCGTATGCAATATATAGGGAAGATAAGCTTGTCAATGTTCCCAATCATAGTGGTTGCCGTCTGGGCAAAAGTGGCAAATGACGTGTTATTGATTATTATATGATTGTATTAATTTTGTCACTGATAAGGATTCCTTTTCTTTTCTTCTTTTCCTTCTCTTTGTTTGGTCCGTGCCAGTCGGTTATGTACGGTTGCGTGGTTTGTACAGAGTACAGAGTACTAATCAGAGACATAGACTCTACTCTTCCTGGTTTGTAGATAAATTAATGTAGATGAATAACAAGCATCAATCTATGCTTCTTTGGTTAGGCAATCTATTAGTAGCTTCTTTCCCCAGATTTCCCTCCTCTCGGGTCTGGTTCTCCGTCTTTCTCCCCCGGAACCGCCAAGCCAGCATATCCAGGCTGTGCTGTCCTCAACTCGGGACGATCCTATTCCCGGCCAAGCATGAGAACCCGATTTTTGCAGCCCTGGTGATGATGCCGAGCGTTTTCGTTTCTAGGCAGTTAACTCTACCAACCAAGCCACGACAAAAGAAAGGAGTGATGTCTTCCCCTGGCTGAGGCTGCTGAGCAGGAGATCTCAGTGAGCCATGAGCCGTACACGATAAATACAAACATAAAAAGAAGGAGAGATGGAAATGAAAGAAAAGAGGCGAGATTTCAATCTCAAATCTCGCGGCTTAAAATGCTGCCTTGTCAGCACGCGATTGTCAGGATTCATGCAAGGATGACCCGTCTGGTTCGGACGCCAGCCGGGGTTCTCATACTGGCAGTGATAGGCCGACAAGAACCAAGAATCGAAATATCTAGTCTCCACGAACCAAGAACGTCATCTTGATTGTCAGTCATTGATAGGGATGCCCCGCAATCGGCGGTGTTCTATTGCGGCAGAGTGAGGATGCTAGGAGATAATATATACAGCAGCAGGCCCCAGTGTCTCAGTCCCTCACCCAGACTTGATTGTGTATCTTAACCTATCCTGGTTGCCTATCAAATCGTTTATCGGAATGCAAACTGCCTATTTGGGACCTGAGCCGGATGCTCGCCACCTGACATACCACGATGATGCTAACAACAACACCCGTTCGAAGTCACGCTTTGAGAGCAAAGATGAGACTACAGACGGTAGCTTTTGGTCGATACGTGGTGGCAGCACGAACGTTTCGCTATCGGGAAGGAATCAGGATGCCATTCCCTCCGAGTTCTCGTTGCGCGACAGTATGTCTCGGTATTTTCTGGCCGAGATTAACACCAACTGGACCGATGGACTCCTGATTGTCTGTGCCTTTGTTAGCGGTCTGGTAGACGGACTGTCATTCAATTCCTGGGGGAGTTTTTCCAGCATGCAGTCAGGTCCGTCTTCTATCCTCATGGCAATGATGATACACACGATGCTAACCGACAACAGGAAACTCCGTTTTCATAGCCCTAGGCGTTGCAGGCCAACCAGTCTATCCAGCCTACCTCTGGGCCAAGTCCCTCATCGCCCTTTCCACCTACCTAATCGGAAACGTCACCTTCATCCAAGTCTCCCGCGCCCTCCACCCCCTCCGCCGCTCCACCCTCGTCCTATCATTCAGCGTCCAAACCGCCGCCATCCTCGCCGCGGCTCTCCTCATCCAACTCGACGTCGTAGAAAGCAGGCCCGAAGACCCCCGTGCCCCGATCCAGTGGATGCAAGTCCTCCCCATTTCCCTCCTCGCCTTTCAAGCCGCGGGCCAAATCGTTGCCTCGCGTGTGCTGTCCTACGACGAGATACCCACCGTCGTCTTGACCACTTTGCTTTGTGACTTGCTCGTTGACGAGAACCTTTGCCAGAGGCCGTGGAAGGCGAACCAAAAGCGCAATCGCCGTCTTGCGGCGTTCCTGTCGCTCTTCCTTGGTGCTATGACGGCGGGTGGATTGTGTAAGGTGAACCATATGCCGGCGGGTTTGTGGCTGGCCATGGGATTGAAGTTGATGATTACGGCGAGCTTTATGGTGTGGAAAGACAATCGGAAGAGGGCTGATACAGGGCTTACTGCATGAATCTCGCATGATACCATACATAGAAGAGAGAGGCTTTCCAGCCTATGGGGTTAGCCGACTCTCCTCAGAGTACAGGCCTGTATAGATCTGTAGATGGTGATAGATAGTGATTTATCAATCGACTGATGATTAGAGGTCAATATGCTTTGATACTCGGTAATAAATCCATTCACACAGTACGTAAGTGGAGATATGAGTCCTGCCTGGTTAACTTGGCCCAATCCATCATGATTGGTCGACCTAGTCGCCATCTCCGACTGTGGCAGTGTATTCCTTTGATACTGCCTTAGTCTCGCCCAAAGGGCTAGCTGGCGGTTGCAATAAGCCAAGAACACAAGGCCGATAAATCCAACCCCGTGAATAACCTACCCTCTCAACGTCTAGTCTAGGCAATGCCAACTGGCTGGCTCTCCAAAGGATACATTTAATGACAATCCTCATTATAGACTATATTGTTCATAAACATTATATCAAAAAAGGACCGGCCTTAGACTCACTTCAAATGAAACCAGCTGAATATTTCTAGGACTTCTGTCTTATTATATAGTACCATCTGGACTATTATTCCTCGCTTCCCGGACGGGCCTTTCTTTATCGAATCCGAGGTAGAGTCTTGCCCAAAACGTCTTGTTGGTCCTGCACTGCGTGTGAAATGCCATGGCAAAAGTATTAGCGCCTCTAAAACTTCATTCATATATTTGAGTATTAGCTTTGCTGCCAAATGGTCCGTGTAACTTGGGAGCATGCGACTACCGTAATGACCACCTGTGCTAATACCGGTAGCGTGTGTCTGCAGGGTGCGATGCTCTCGGTCACCCGCCGGCTCCCATTTCTCGATCACGATTCTGGGATTCTGGCGGTCAACAGTGAGCGTAAAGACGAGGCTCACTTTGTCTTGGCTTTTCCATGACCAAAAGCGGACATCCGACTGAATCTTTGATTGAGACTTAGAAACGGCGACCTCGAGTACAACTGTTGGCCAATTGCGATCACGGCCGCGCGGTGGTTGCACTGGGCTCCATCTGTTATCGCCTTGTTTGTCCTTTTCTTCGTCGGCGGGAAGTAAACCAATTTATAGTCTCGTTAGAATCCAGCGCAAACGACCCATAAATAGGGTAAGGGGTTCTTGTTCCGGTGATGCGTTTCAACCCAACCGGGTAAAATTAAATGTCAAAGGTAAGTCTGGGTAGAGAACGAGGATAGGATACCACTCACGGCCCAAGTAAATTGTTAATATGCATATGGGGCTTAGATTGCCGCTGTATGGGAATTGCAATTCCGTGACGAAGAGAATTCATAGCCATGGCGTTGAAGGCTCGTAATGCCTAGACGGTCAACATCCGAGCCTGCTTCGCGTCAGCGCTGTGTTTAAAAGCTTCCGATAGCTTCTCGCCAGATGGTGTACATCACATCCTTCACAAGTTTCGTTTTGCTGTCAAGGTGAACCGGTATCACTAGATAATCTTCGGTCTGCCCTGTGATGGGGCTCCCATACGACGAAGATAGACGGGACCTGAGTCTCCGCTTGACAGATGATGATATAGATAACTCTAAGTTCATCAAATGTGTAATGTAGGGTCTCAACCCTGTAGATCGAGACACGGTCTTTCTTTGAATTGGAACGACTTTGCTGGATGCACAGTGCAGGCTAACTAGCTAAGACAGCCGCAGCACACTTAGCCAGCCGATATAATGAAGAAGATGGTCGATGATAGATGAAAACATTTATCAGTGAATTTGTAGAGCAGGCCATGGAGACGGTGCTAACAATTCTCTATATAATAGCTGCATGCTCTGCGGTGTCGCAACCCTAGGTTGCATAACTTCTATATCACCCGTTCCATCCCGTGGACATGCTTCACGCCCTACAAGATTCCAAGATCGAGGCTAGACTTGAATTCATTGAGTGTGATATGGCCAGATGGTTGGTTAGCACAACCCTCAGATCTCTGTCACACCCACCGGCTTCCATACATCCACGGTACCTGAGAGTCTCAAGGAAAGCCAAAATAAAGGACTAGCGTGTCTGAGAGTTCACCATAAAAGACAAATGAGCCGGCTCGTGGGACGATCCGATGCATTGGATACGAGGCATCCGGGCACGAGCGCCAGACTCTCAGCAAACTCTCTCCGCTATGGCCCTCGAAAAGCATCTATATTAGCCTAGGCTGACAGATCATTGACTCGACCTTGGTGCGTTCCCCATACATGTGCGACGGCTCGCGTGTAACGGTGCCCTTGGGAGGCCTGCATTGAGTCAGCCGAGGCAGTGATTCGAATGCAATTTGAATCATATCCCACACTAATATCCATCGTCCGAATTACTAAACATGCAGGGCTGTAGCATCGGAAGAGTTGCTACTCTAGTAAATGGCCGTTGTTGGGCGGACATTATTCTAGATGTTCTTATGATATAAAGCCCAGGTCCCCAGAGTCCATGTTGACATCTTATCAACCCTTCACATTACTCAAAATGGCAGTCCCAGTTCAGTTTCCAGACAGCCATTGTAAATTCTCCCATCCAATTTCAGGTGAAGAGTTCCTGGAATCCGGTGCTATCTCGTCGATCCCAGTTCGACGCAGCAACATGCACCGAGAAGCCGAGCATATCATGGCGGCCCTTAGACGCGACTGGGCAGCTGTCTTTGGAGAAGACAATGATCATGACCATCATACGGACGAGAACACCATATCCGGGTACGTCCATTGTTTGATTTTGCCTAAAGCGAAGCCAGGTCGTTTCGAGCACACGGTCTGGTTTACCGAGTTTTTCATCCTTGTTGACTGTAGGTTGTACCCCGGCTGTCATGTTGAATCATTTACTGAGACCTTTCCAGATAAAGCCGAAGATCTGACTCGCGAAATAGTAAGTGTGATTACATACAACTTTTGATGTTACTTAAGTCTTTTGATCTCCAGGCCCACACAGAACTAAACCCCAAGCTTGCGAAGATCTTGGCGGATAGGTGCCAGAAGGATCCCGAGTCTGCCGTGAAAAAGCTCCTCGTGGCATCTATCAGAAAACTTCTTAGGAAGGATTTCATCCGCGGATGTCGTGTGTTAAATGCGTGGCAGTATTGGCTTCTTAATGTCGATTCCAAAGGTCCAGAGGATTTTGACACACTTGAAGACCACGAAGAGTTTAGGATTATCAATTGTGGATTGATGTATGTCATCGAAAGTCTCTTTCTACAAGATTAACACTGTGACACTAACTCGGCACAATTAGGCCCTACACTTACATGATGGAATACGCCATGGGGCTGACCCTAACGGACACCGAGAGATAAGATGCGAAGAAGCTCGAGCGCCTTGCTTTCAAATGCATCGGTGTATCTAACGACCTTTGGAGCTAGCCCAAAGAAGTGCAAGCATATAGGAAGGGCAGACGGGTCATGAACGCCATCCTCGTTGCAATGAAGACGAAGAGCCTCACCGCACATCAGGCGATAATCCTGGTCAAGAACCGAGTGATACGGTTTCAGCAAGAACTCTTGGCCATGCGAGATGAATTTTTGTCAGCCTCGGTGGTTTCTGATGATATGCGTCAATATGTCAATGGTTATCTCTGGATTGTGTCGGGCAATGAGCTTTGGCAGTCTACTTGTCCGCGGTATCACCCCCAGTTGCATTTTGAGCTATAGTTTGTGGTAGAAATTGTCAATGCAAATCAGATACCCAAGTTATGGTCCCCGCATAGCCTTATTGGAACATGGTCATTTAATTTGAATACACAAATAATATCATTCATGAAATAATCCGCCGTTTCCTCCCCTAAGCTATGCCCGAGGCGGATGTATATCCCGGTCAATACCACCGACACTCCACCATCACCTACAACCTTTCGACACAACCAGCTCCATACGTCTCGACTTCCAATACAAGTTAAGATAAGGATAACGAGAAAGCTCCTATTGAATCATGATGTGATCAACATTATTGATAATTAGATGAAGAAGGCTGGGGGGGGGGGGGGGGTTGACTAAGCACGCCCTACGGGGCTTGCGCCTTTTTTTACACGCTCGAGTTTTTGAGATAGGCGAGGTTATATATGTGCAAGACCCCGAGGTGACTTTGTGTCATTCATAACCTACCGGTATATGGCTCAACTTGCTCTATAAAAATCAGGAGAAGTCGGAGTTTCACACCACAATTCCTTGATTTCTCCGGCAACAATGTCGAGCACCACGACTACAACAACCACACGGACCGACCCGTTCATATTGCAAACAGGAGATGTACAACCACCCAAACCCCAGCGCTTTCACCTGCAACAGGTGGTGGTGATGCTACAGCTCTGTGCTGTCACGCTCACAGCCTGCTTGATCAATGGGTTGGTGATTGTCGGTCTACCAACCATCACCAAGGATCTCCAGCTGCCCTCGTCTCTGTCTTTTTGGCCATCGTCAGTAAGCAATCTTGCTACTGCTTCTACGCTTCTGTTGGCAGGATCCATTGCCGATACTGTGGGCCCACGATGGGTTGAACTTGTCGGATGTCTAGCTAGCGGAGCGTTAATGCTCGGTCAAGGGCTGTCTCGGACTGGGGAAGAATTGGTTGTGATGAGGGCACTGCAGGGCGTCGGTCTTGCATTGCATTTGGCCTCTTCTGTTTCTATCATCACGCAGATTCTACCGCAAGGCAGGGGCCGTAATTTGGCTTTCTCTTGCATTGGTCTCAGTCAGCCGCTTGGCTTCTCGCTCGGACTGGTTGTTGGTGGTATTCTAATCGACACTATCGGCTGGCGAGCGGGATGGTACATAGCCGGAGGAATAACCCTCTTCTTCTCGTTAATCGGCATGTGGGCTTTGCCCAAGAGCGACGACCATCAATATGCCGATGTTATGCACAATTTCAAGACCAAGGTCGACTGGGTCGGTGCTGGGCTGGCTTCTGCATTCATGGCTTTGATCTGCTATCTACTGGCGTGAGTAACAATCTTGACACGGTATATTCAGAAGGTAACCAGGAAGCAGCGTCTTGAGCGCTGATCCCTCGCGGATCAAAACTGCCGAGGCCATTGTCATTTTGTGTCTTGCTGTAGCTGCGCTTCCATCTTTCGTTGCTTGGTCTCATTACCAGGTCAAGGGGGGTAGGCCAGCGCTGATTCCGAATTCGCTTTGGAGGAATGCGTCTTTCTCGAGCATCTGTGCTACAATTGCGCTGTCGAATGCAGTGATCAACTCCATGGAGCTATTCGCTGCCTTGTTGTGAGTGGTCTCTCTCTATCCTTCCATTATTTTCTACTATCCACTGACCCTATTCCAGCTTCCAAGAGGTCCAATACCTCTCCGCTCTGCAAGCATCCATTCGTATCCTCCCCAGCCTCGTAGTAGGCGTCGTCCTAAACATCGTGATCGGATTCGTCGTCCATCGAGTCCCCGCATTCTGGATCGTAACAATCACCTCCATCCTCTGCGCCGGCTCACCCTTACTCATGGCCGTTATCCAACCCTCATGGCCATACTGGAGCAACGCCTTTGTCGCCCAGTTATTGCAGCCCGTCAGCTTCAACGCTCTTTTCACTATCGGCCTGATTGTGATCACGGATGTCTTCCCGAGCAATACTCAAGCTTTGGCAGGCGCGGTGTTCAATACATCTGCGCAATTTGGTGGGGCCCTGGGAATGGCTGTGCTGCAGGTTGTTTCGACTATCATCACGGATCAGTCTGATAGAGAGAAGGAGACGGAAGCGCTGATGGATGGGTATCGGGCTAGTTTCTGGACTATGTTTGGGTTTATGATTATGTGTACGGTTGTTGGGTATTTGGGGCTGCGCAGAGCTGGTAGGGTGGGATTGAAGCAGGATTGATTCGATGGATACGGAGGCAGAAAGGGTGTTTTGGGGCATTTCTATTCATCTGGAAATATAAGGAAAAAGATCCGTGATCCAATATTCTGTACATTTCTTAGATATCCTGCCTCTTGGCTGATAAAAAAGATAAACCCCCTAAGAGCTAGCAATAACATCCCCCTTAAGCAGAATCGGCTGCGCAGTGGTAAAGTTCGGAATATCCCCAAAGATAGTCTTTGTCGCTTCACCAGCAGCCGCGGCATTGAAATCGTCCAAGCTCTTCCATCTCAAAGTAGCCTGCACCTGGTACGGCGCATCGGCGGGGAACGTAAGGACATCCCAGCCCAAAAGACCAGAGGATTCCCAGGTGCTGTTTGGCGTTAGTTGTGGTCTTTAGGTATTCTAGGAGTTGTCCTTATCCAGGGAACGTACGAGGAGACGAGGGGCATGTGGATCTTGAGGTAGTAGTCGAGGTCGAAGGACGGACCGGACGGGTAGACAACTAGGACATGAGCCATTGTGTTGGTGTTGATGTTGATGTATTGCTTTGTGAGTTGAAGATAGAGATAGATGTAGTGGGGAAATGAGACCTTTTTATATCTCTGTATTCTAGCTACGGGGTTTTTTCTTATAAATCACCGCCGCGTTTAACGTGTCCAACCGCTATCCCCGCCGTGGGGCTTGCTCCCCTTCTCAGTGCTGTGTTGCAGACGCTACCTAATGCTTGATTGACTCTGGTAGTTTAAATATCCATCGTCGCTTTAAACAAGGATCCCGGCTCCGGCTACTACCTGGGGTCAAACAATCCGCCGCAATGCTGGGTCAAGGCATGGATGGCCGGGGGGGGACCCAGGGAACATTCATCGTGAGTTCGTTCTAGTTAGAGATTTTGGACAGATGATGCAGGAAACTGTCTTGTAGCTTCATTATTACCTCGAGGCTACTCTGTAAACTTATTTCTATTTATCTTCACTGTTGATCGAGATACTATACCCCACCATCCCTTAACTCCGAGATATATATCTGCCCATAATCCCTCCATAGTTACGCTCCACAACGACAATGTCCACCAAAACTATAGCAAATTGGACTTCCTCCCTAACATATTCCTCCCTTTCTCCTTCCATAGTCCAATCTACCATTCAATCCTTCTACAACTGGACAGGCTGCACCGTCGGCGGCAGCTCCCACCCCGCAACCACCATTGCCCGCAATGCGCTAACCCCGTTCTTCGGCGCTCCGACATCGACGCTTTTCGATTCTCACAAACATCAAAAAACAGATGCACAGCATGCAGCCCTGCTAAATGGAATCGCATCGCATGTGCACGACTACGATGATACGCATCTAGAAACAATCATCCACCCAACAGGCCCTGTCGCAGCGGCGCTTTTGGGTATTACGGAGACACTGCAGAGGCCGGTTTCGGGGAAGGAGTTTATCACGGCTTTGGTTGCGGGTATTGAAGTCGAATGTAAATGTGGACTGGCTGTGTGGCCGAGTCATTATGATGTTGGATGGTGAGCTTCCTTCTCCTACAACCGGAAGGAAACTTTGTTGTGCTAAGGGTAGATGAAAGGCACATAACAAGCACAACCGGCTCCATTGGCGCCGCTGTAGCCGTTTCCAAACTTCTGGGTCTCTCTCCGGACCAAATCGCCCATGCGATTGGCATCGCAGCTACACAAGTAACAGGGCTTAGAGAGATGTTCGGCTCACATACCAAGTCCTTCCATCCCGGCCGCGCAGCACAGAATGGTCTCATGGCTGCCATCCTTGCATCAGACGGGTATACGAGTTCCCTGGAAGCACTTGAGGCAAAACGGGGTTGGGTGAATGTCGTCAGCGACGACGACAAGCTCCAGAATCTAGTGGCTAGTCTGGGGAAGGAAGGTGCTTGGGAGATTGAGAAGAACAGCTTCAAGCCGTTTCCATGTGGGATTGTGATTCATCCGGTTATTGATGGATGTGTTCAGTTGCATGAGGTGCTCGGTGGCAGTGGGAAGAGGTATGAGGATATTACAGATGTTCAGCTCACTGTGCACCCGCTCGTCCTCGAGTTGACGGGGAAGACGAAGCCCCGGGATGGACTGGAGGCCAAGTTTAGCGTTTACCACGGCGCTGCGATTGGCTTACTCCTTGATAAAGCAACACCTGCTCAGTATGAAGATGCTGTCGTGACAGATACAGAAGTTATCAGCCTCAGGGACAAGATCCATGCCACAGCAGATGAGAAGTGTCGTCCGGATGAGTGTCACATTGTGGTTAATTTTGCTTCTGCTGGTGGGACGTCCGCGTCTATTGAGAAACATGTGGACCATGCCATTGGGAGTGTGCATTGTCCGATGTCGGACAGTCAGCTTACAGAAAAGTTTATGGATCAGTGTGTGCCGGTTCTGGGCCTGGAAAGGACCCAGAAGGCCAGTGAGTGGTGTTGGATTTTAGATAGACATGGGGATGTCCGTGAGATAAAGGAGTTCTTCTGATTATTCCTGAATAGCTTCAGTTATATGAGACAATTAACTGTCAAGACAGTTACAGATCGTATGTTCCTCCAAGTCTCATTGACAGTTACCTTTCCCTCGTCTTATCTGCATTATGTACCTTGAATTACACGGAGATTGATCGCTGTTGCACAAAATCCCGTAACTGGGATTCGATGGCGCGAGCATCCAACGCACCGTGGAACAACCAGTTGTACTGATCTAAAAGCTGGCGCAATGGTTTGTAGAACAATTGTCAGCTGGCCATTCTAGCATTAGCTAAACATATCCCTAGACCTGTGTCTCAATATAAACCACGCTAACGATAAAGACAGAATATAATCAGTAGTAGTATTATCATGTTGCAGACAATCAATGCACCCGTGAACCCAGAATCCGTAAATCAACAAAAGCAAAAACATAAAAGCGTAACCTGCGCCTGCGAATTGGTCTCAATCTACCATTCCATATATCACATTACTGGCTGCCCCAGGCAGCGGATTTAAGCAACGAAAGCACCCTTAATCTCGCTGTAGATGGCACCGAGCTCCTCGGTGAGCTTCTCAGCCTTGCCGACCATCTTGTCAAGAGTAACCTCAGCAGAGGCATGCTTGGAAGAAGCGTCGTAGCCACCCTCCTCGACGATGTCCTTGTAGTTGGTGGCACCACCGCCGTTCCAGGCAAGGAGCTGTAAACGCAGTTAGCATGTCTTCTTCTTTTTCTTTTTCTTAAAAGGCGGACTTACGTTAGGAGTGTCGGACGGGATGCCCTCGAGGGCTCCCTTGGTGGCAATGCTGATGATGTCGTTCTTGAGCTTCTCAGGAGTGATGTCGGCAACAGCGAATGCAGAGTCCTTGGAAGGCTGAAGAGAGACGAAGTAGGCCAACAGACCAGCAATGTGGGGCGAGGCCATAGAAGTACCCGAGATGGTGTTGACGGCGTGCTTGCTGCCGGTCCAGGTGGACAGGATGTTCAGACCAGGGGCGAAAATGTCAGTGCACTTGCCGTAGTTGGAGAAGTAGGCACGCTCGTCAGCGAGAGTCGAAGCGCCAACAGTCACAGCCTTCTCGGAAGCAGCCGGGGAGTAGCCACAGGCGTCAGCGTCGTCATTACCAGCGGCAACGGCGAAGTGAACACCAGCATCAACACCAGCATCGACAGCAATCTCCAAAGTCCTGGACTTGCCACCACCAAGACTCATGTTGGCAACGCTACCCTTGAAGCCCTTGGCCTTGCCATCCTTGGCAGCCTTGACCTTCTTGGTGTGAGACTCAACGGCCCACTCAACACCCTTGATGACATCGGACATGGTACCAGAGCCAGAAGATCTGAGGACCTTGACAGCGTAGATGTTGGCCTTCTTGGCGACACCGTACTTCTTGCCAACCATAGTTCCGGAGCAGTGGGTTCCGTGTCCATTGCCATCCTCATCCTCATCGTTGTTAGGGATGGTCTTGCCCCAGTGAGCACGACCCTCGAAGTCGGCGTGGTCAACGTTGATACCAGTGTCAATGGTGTAGGCATCGACACCCTCGCCACCCTCACCAGCATACAAGTATTTGTTGAAGGTGCCGAAGGAGAGACTGTCCCGGTGGGAGATACGAGCAAGACCCCAGGGAGCACTCTTCTCGACCTCATTTTCTTCCATCATCTGGAAGTCACCCATGGTGTGGACTTGGGAGTCTTTCTCGATGAACTCGACCTAGATAGAGCATAATGAGTCAGTAAAATGCCAAGACCAGGAACATGCCAGCTAGGAGCTCCCAGGTGAAGCTAGTTACTCACATCTGGGTGTCTGCGGACTTGCTCAATCACATCCTCGTGGAAGTGACCAGCGTAACCCGAAAGCGTTTCACCAACGCTGAAGGTGTGCTTCAGACCAAGGTAATCGGGTTCAGCGAAGCCAAAGAGCGACCGCTTCTTCAGTTCAGTGCGCTCATTCTGAGAAGCGTGGATGTCCTGCACCCAGCTTTGGTGAACAGAAGCGGAGTTGGAGTTAACGTGCTTCTTGAAAACAACGATGTATGAGTCGGGAACCTCTTGAGAGTTCATAGATGAGAGAACAGGGGCAGCTCCATTGTGAATAGAGTCAACAAAGACAGGGGAGGCAGCCGTAAGCAACGGGAGCAACGAAAGGCTGAAGATGCCCTTCATGGTGATAACTGGGCGAAAAAGACGTTGGTTCAAGAGAAAAGGATAAAAGAATGATACAGAGACAGTTGAAAGATGGAAGAAGTAGAGAGAGGGAAGAGAGCGATATAAAAGGGGATGGATAAGTAAGAGAGAGGGAGGTTGGAGAAGGTCGGAATGGCAGATGAGGAGAGAAAGACATGATGCAACCGGATTACGGTAACTTACAGCAAGTGACCGCCTGACCCGGCTTGATTGGCGCTGGCTGTCGATCCCGATAGGCTAGTGGAGCAGAAGGACCTGGGGTAAATATGGTAAATATGGTACTGTTTGGTAATGATACACGATTCGCAATACCGCCAGGTGCTTCATCATTAGGCGGACAACTGGATGATGCGGACAAACAGCTATGGGTTATCAGTCGCTTATCCCCAACGCTAGCTGCATTTACCTCGTACACGTAGCTACAGGGTCTAAATCTGTACTGTGTACCTGGCATACATAACGCTGCACAAGGTACTTCCAGCGATGACTGCCAGGTGTACTTCGTACACCGTACATCGATGACGGTATTGTATCACATTCGCTCAATCAACTCATCCGAGTCGCGTGCTTTGGTTCAACTCCGACTGACTACACCCAATAAGGAATGAGATCGACACGCCGGTATTGTCATTTATGTCACATTATGACAGTACCATTACCATCAGCACGTAAGATAAGCGCTTATCGATACCCGCCTTGACCAATTAGCACCGCCGGCATCACCTGATAGCGCGGCGGCTCTGTCTAGGCAAGGCTTTCCCCTCCGCCTGAGCGCCGCAGCAGTACGTACGGAGTACATAGTGAAGCTGGGACACTTCACCATATCTGAGTGTGGGAAAAATATTGCTTTTAAAATAGAATACATACCTTGACTGTGAGTTCACGTGGGATATTGTTTGTCGAATACTAGCCCTTCCTGCAAGAGAATCGTCACTAACGGGGTTCTCCATGTTCCGCCAGTTTCCCCCTCACAAAACGGTGCGGCCAGAACTCGTCACCTGCGCGCAATTCCATGTTTCTCCGTCGATGTTGATCCATTGACCAGTTGTACCTCGCTCAAGACCAAAACAATCTCCATTCCAACTGACATGGCGGCCAAAGCTCGCTAATAGTAGTCGACTCACCGCATACCAATGCAGACCGCCTTCATCGTCACGCCCACTCGAGGTTCATGGTTGGTATCCAGCCATCGGAAGAGGTAGCCGGGGTTAACATTTGGCGGCGCAATGAACCAGGCCACCTCCCTCCCTTCGCTGTCTCCTTCGTCGTCAATTGAACGACTCAATCTCGAGCTGTCTCCTGTGATTGAGGAGTTGAGGAACATCTGCGAGCAAGATCCGATCTCTCCGCAACTCGCCCTGACGGCAACGGAAAGCTTGCTCCGGCTGCGTCATACCTTTATCGATAACGACCGCCCGAAGGAAGCGAAAGATTCCTTCCGACATCAGAATGGTTTCCAATTGTTGTTGGTCCTCATTAGCAAGCTCGCAGATATCTATGATGCAGAACTACCCAAGGACGAGAAGAAGGGTCTGTTGACTCTACACAAGGATGCGTTGGGGGTCCTGGCGGAGGGCTTGAAGGAGAATTTCGGAAATAAACGATACTTTACAAAGAAGATTACCGGTGGGGGCAAGACCGTGTTGGAGAGGTCTTTGTTAAGTCTAGCCACTAAGCTGGGCAGCGCGGAGACTGAGACACAGCAGTTCTATGGTGGAATTCTGGCAGCAGCACTCTGCCAGGAAACGGTAGCTGGCCTGTTCACGGCTCTGGCCGCGAAGTCTCAACAGAATGAGGATCCCATATCTCCTGGCGACGTCCGACATTCCGTGGACAACGGCATGGGAACATCGGAGACCGTGGAAGTTTCCGAGCTCCTGGGGCCTTTCCTTCGCGTGTGGCTGGCGCAATCCTCGCTCAACTATGGACAACATAAAGCCCAGAGACTAGCGGTTCCTGCTTGTCTCTGCCAGCTCGCGTCGCAGTCAGAAAGAAATGTTGTAGCCCTACATGCTACTGGGATGCTAACCTCCATCTTACCATTGTTATTCAGCAATGACTGTCCTGAAGACGAGAAATCGTTATACCAAGAACTTGCTCGACTACTCTGCGCTCAAGGACTGAGCAATTTGGATGATGCGGTTGCCCTTTACCGCAATGCGCACGGTAGCTCTGACATCCTGCGGTTCCTACTCGACGTGTTAAAACGATCTAAACAACCTCCATCCATACATTTTGATTTGTCATTGCATGGCTACTGCTCCGTGGAATTTTCTAGTCTAGGTCGTACGTTCCCGCCAGCGACCTCTGCGGGCTACACTTTATCAGCATGGGTTCGGTTTGACCGGTTTGATACTAGTACGCATACAACCATATTTGGGGCATTTGACGCGAGCCAAACATGCTTTCTGCTTATGTACCTTGAAAAGGAGACCCGCCATTTGATATTACAAACTTCCATAAGCGGCCCTCGTCCCAGTGTCCGATTTAAGACCATATCTTTCCAACCCAATCGATGGTACCATATTGCTCTTGTCCATAAAAAGCCCAGACCGCCATCCTACTCTCGAGCTTCGCTATTCATAGACGGTGAATTTGTCGAACAACTGAAGATAGAGTATCCGAATGTTCCCGTGACCAGTGTTCCGAACAAAACACCCCGGGTACAAGCTTTCTTCGGGACTCCGCAGGATCTGGCGATGAGATTGGGAAAGGGCGTATCAACCTCTCGATGGTCATTAGCAGGTGCGATACTGTTGGACGAGGCATATAGTGATGACATGATTTCTGTTTTCTATAATCTTGGCCCTCGATACTATGGCAACTTCCAAGACTGCATGGGGTCGTTTCAGACTTACCGAGCGTCTGCGGCCTTGAACGTGCGAAATGAACATTTGCACCCTGGCAAAGAAGAACTTTCCGATATCGTTACGGCAATTCGACGAAAAGCAAGTGCGCTAGTTCGTGAGGGATCAATTTTGGTCAATGTCTCCCCAGTTGCCATTCTGGATGACGATGATAGCAACAATGTCGACGAGTCGCAACTTGTCAGGTGTTTATCCCGACCGGCAGCTAAAAACTTACAGCAACTCACGAAAGCTGGAGGAAATTCGGTGGCTGTCAATGGCGGGACACCTGCGATCAATGGTGCATTGACGCAAACCCATGGAGTGGGAGTTTTAGCAGGTGACCCTGTCGTTGCGGTGCCACAATCCTTAGATGATGCGAGCTGGCGCCTTGGCGGCTGCGCAGCGGTGCATCTGAGCTTGGTCCAGGCGGCTAATACTGCGGATTCCTTTCTGATGGCAGTAGAGGCGCTGTACGAATCTGTTCAGGATAACTGGAGGAACAGTGACGCCATGGAGCGGGAAAATGGCTATGGAATACTCGCAGCCTTGCTGCGTGAAAAGCTTGGCTGCCCATTGGGTAACTACACCGCAGCCCCAAAGACTTCCGTTGTATGCTCCAGTTATGAGGAGCGATCGGCTGTGGCCTTCAAACTCCTCCGCTTGACTCTCGGCTTCGTGGGGTATGATTTTGAGCATCCGCATCGCTCTATTATCGTCAACCCACTCGCATACAGAATTCTCATGGTTGATTTGGATATATGGAGATTCGGCGAACTTGCTCTCCTCGAACTGTATTACTCCCAGTTTTGTACATTTGCCACTGGGGGCCCTTATCGTCGTTTCAATGCAAAGCGCCTCTCTCGCATGCGTAGGTTTTCACACAATCTCCCAGAATTTGGCCCTTGTCCCATGCTAATGATCAACAGGCGTCACCAAGAAGCTGCTGGAAGCTCTGAAAGGAGAGGATTTCACCCCAAATGGCTTGCGTCTCTTCACAAAGGCCTTCAGATCGCTTATGGAGAGTTGCCTGTCTGCAGACTTGCTTCGTTCCCTGGCCCTTTTCATTACTTACGCTTTGCACAAACCAAAGGCACCAACTAAATTGCAGAAAAAGAAGAGCATTCGGTTAAACTCCTCCCCGCAGCTATCAACATCTTCCTCTGGACAGCGGGAGTACGTATCGAGCTCTGCCATGGCGGTCGAGATGCTGCGAATGTATTGTTCCGTTCTTTGCAATGTTCACGATCTCTTATCATTGACGAAGTTTGCTCGTGCCGTGACAAATAAGGTTGGTTTCATAAACACGCCACCCCTTTTGGTGAGATCATGGTCTCTAATACAAGTGTGTGCAGTGGCTTTTGTATCTCACATGCGAGGATGATCCTGAAATCGTTATTCCTGCAACTAAAATCCTTGCCCGTCTAGTTGTCTTTCACGGTAGCAATTACAGCAAAAAGTTTTCTGACAGAAGCGGAGGATACGTTGTCCTGCAAAATCGCCTGAAAAGATGGTGGAATGTACCCGCTCTATGGCCTTTATGCTTCGCTGTATTGTTTGGCGTGGATGTTGGATCGATGGATGTTGATAGACCATTAGATGGCTCTAACCTGCTAGAGACACTGTCTGCAGGAGACAACACGAAGGTTGTCTTTCCTGAAATGCTGCCTGTGATCACCGAAATGATGAGAAGCGGCTTGAGAAAGATCGTATTGGCCGAACACAGCTTCGAGCAGCGCAACGGGTCTCTCAAGGAGCGGTTGGCACAGATGACGAAGCCATCCATGTCTGCTTCGAGACCTGTCGATCAAACCATCGAAGAAGTTTCCCTTTTAGCTACTGCTGTTGAACTCTTGGCTGTGGTACATGCCAAATCGGAAGATTTTCGCGAATTTGCAGTGCAGTCCGATTACGTACAGGGGCTACTCCGTGTGCTGTTTCCAGTTGTTGTTGGCTCGGATATTGTCAACGCAGACGTCGAGCTGAACTCTCATGATGGCGGGCTCAGGCTGGATGACCTCAGCTTGGCCATCCGCCCTAAGTCGGCTGGAGCAGCAGACTTACGAACAAGAACTGTGGAGCAAGGAGGGACTCGACGGAATAGCCGTGGTCAAAAACCTCTGCGCCGCGGATCGTCATTCATCCTCGTTTCATCCGATCAAGTGCACCTTGCGCCCTCTCACGCACGTTTACACCATGCGTTTACGCCTTCCCATGCTAAGGAAAATGGGACTGCCACGGATAACCCTGTTGTAATAAGCATTCTGGGCCTCGTTCTCGCCGTATTCACTGACCAGTTACTTGAGCGAAAAGACTTTTCTGGTTTAGGCCTTTATCTGAAGACGCCACCTGGATTCCTCGAACATCAGGCATGTTTTAATTCCTGGTTAACGAAGCATCTTTTTTCGGCTTTGCAAGATGCTGTGTCCACAGAGGCCCAATTATTCTTGGAACCGAGAACACTCACCAACTTAGGACGTTTAGCCGCTCACGTTGCAGAAGCCATATACGAAGGCTGGTTTATTGACGGTACAACCGCTACTCTTGAGTTTCTGGGGACGATCCTAGAATATCTGCAACGTCCGGACATCTCCATGCTAAAGAGCGTTCGCCTTTGTAATCAAGCCACTGCGACGATGCGGTCGACACTCTTCCGAGCCGTGCTACTCCAACTGTCAGAGGCAGATGATCGGGAAACACTGGCATTTTTAAAGCGTCTAAACTACTGGCAAGCAGTGATACTCTCTACCGAGGAATCTCACTCAGAATATCTGCAGCTGTTGTGCTATCAGCTTTATACCAAGCTAGTCAGCAAGAACGAAGATGTCCGCCGGGCTGCCGTGGGCCTTTGGCGGATCATTCTGGTACAGAAGCCGGATGACATGTCTGCAATTCTGAGCCATGCATCAGTGCCTCTTCAAAAACGTCTTCTGGATGACTTTGACGCCCTTGTCAGCATGGAAGATGCTGCTTTTCTGCAATGGATTTCTGACCGAGGGGACGACCTTGATGCTCTATTTTTGGAAGCATTAGGTAGATCGTGGGACCATTTCGTTCATGAGGAAGATGCAAGTACAGCGACCTCAGCACGCGTCCGCGTCTCGAAACGTCAAGATAAATTGAAGCAGTGGGTTCATGGTGAGAAGCTTAGCGAAGAGGCGATTCGCAAACATGAAGCCACGCACCCACACTGGATATCCAACATATCGGCCTCGGAATTCTTGAAATACCAACGGTCCCTGCAAGATCAACAGGATGACTTGATGTTCATATGGTCGACCTTTGCTCGTCTATTAATGGACCTTCATCGTTTCGGAGGAGTCCTTGCGGAACACCGAGAGACAAAATGGCGCCTTGACCAGACAGAAGGACGAAGTCGGATGCGACTACGCGTAGTCCCAGACACGTCCAACGAGCGACAGGATTACCAGCCGAAAAAGAGAAAGGTTTCAGAACCACCGGCGATTAAGATTGACACGCAAGTTCCACCGGCTTCTGGTAGCGACACACTACCCCTGGCGCTAGGGGAGGGCAACCCCCAAGTTGTGGAAGCAGACAACAAAGGTATGCTGGAAGACAGCTTTGAAATGATTGACGATCCGAAAGCGGTCATGGCAGACTACGAGGATAAGAACCGAAAGGTCATGCGGACTTTGCACCGTGGCGATCAGGTTCAGAATGTCTGCAACATGTCTCGGATAATCGGGTTGGAGGCTTGCGAGGGCCTCCTTATCCTGGGAAAGGATCATATTTACCTCCTGGATAACTTCTTCCAGCGTTCCGATGGCGAAATTGTTAATGTTTGGCAAGCGCCCCCGGATGAACGGGATCCGTACGTTCGAATGATTGCTGGACGGGAAGACGATGAACGCAAGCCGCAGGAGCACGAGACAAGGAGTTGGAAATGGTCCGATCTGGTCAGCGTGTCTAAGAGACGCTTCCTGTTCCGTGATGTGGCGCTTGAGATCTTCTTTACGGACGGTAGCAGCTTTCTTTTGACGCTTGTCTCATCGAAGGCCCGGGACGACTTGTCGAGCCAGCTGGGTTCCAAAGCTCCCCAGGTCACTGGAAGCGTCGGACACTCGCGGCCAGAGGATATACGGAGGTTCGAGACCCTCCGAAGCCAAGAAGATGCTCCGCAGACTCTTGGGTCAAAATTTGCAAGTGTCTTTGGCCACTCGCCGGAGAACCCAGCGACCCGGAAATGGGCCAGAGGGGAAATTTCGAATTTCCACTACCTCATGTTGGTCAACACTCTTGCCGGGAGGACTTTCAATGACCTGACGCAGTATCCTGTTTTCCCATGGGTACTTGCTGATTATACAAGCGAGGAATTGGACCTGACCAATCCTAAGAGTTTCCGTGATTTGTCGAAACCGATGGGTTGTCAGACGTTGGAGAGAGAGGCTGAGTTCAGAGAGCGATACAATGCCTTTGCGGAAATGGGTGGGGATGATTCGCCTCCATTCCATTACGGGACACATTACTCTTCTGCGATGATCGTTAGCTCGTACCTTATTCGTCTCCAGCCTTTCGTCAAGTCATATCTTCTCCTACAAGGGGGCACGTTCGACCATGCGGACCGTCTGTTTTATTCGGTTGCAAAGGCTTGGGAATCCGCCTCGAAAGGAAACATGTCAGATGTGCGCGAATTGATCCCCGAGTTCTTCTATCTTCCTGAGTTCCTGGTCAATGCGAATAACTACGAGTTTGGAGTCCTCCAGAACATGACCACAGCCATCGACTCGGTAGAATTACCACCGTGGGCCAAAGGCGACCCCAAAATCTTTATCGCAAAACAACGCGAAGCCCTTGAGAGCCCCCACGTGACGCAGAACCTGCACCACTGGATCGATTTGGTATTCGGGTGCAAGCAGAAAGGCGATGCCGCCATTGAAGCAGTCAATGTCTTCCATCACCTGTCATACCAGGGCGCCAAGGATATCGACAATATTGACGATCCGGTAGAGCGGCTGGCTACGATTGGGATCATTCATAACTTTGGGCAAACGCCGCATCAGATATTCAGTCGGCCGCATCCGCAACGGGAGGATTTGAAGTACAAGGCGCCACGGTTGGATCGGCTTGCAGAGTCGTTGACACAGCTTCCTGTTTCGCTCCTTGATATCGAGGAACGGGTGGCGTCGCTGTCCATGAAGCAGGATCGGTTGTTATGCGCTGCTCCACTACGATTGAATATTCCCCCGACCTACGACAAGTACATGGAATGGGGATTCTTTGACGGCAGTGTCCGGTTCTACTCCGCAGAAAGTCGAAAGGTCAGTTGACTTAACCCGTGCTACACCATAATAGTGTGTCGCTGACTGAAACAGTTGTTGGGCCACTTCGAGCATCTCCACGTTGGCCAGCTGTCGTGTGCCATCTTTGCAGATTCACGAACACTAGTGACGGCCGGCAGGGACTGCACTGTCTCTATCTGGACGTACACGTCAGGCAGCAAATCCGTTGATCTGCAACCGGCAGGAACCCTATTTGGCCATCGCTCGCCGATCACAGTTCTTGCAGTCTCGCGTTCATTCAGCACTCTCCTGACAGCGTCCAGTGATGGACAGGTCATCCTCTGGGATCTGAACCAACAAAGCTTCGTGAGGGAGCTTTCGACCAATGGACCGGTCGATGTGAGTTGCCAAATGCTCGTCTGCGAACTCTTGCTAATGTTTCTAGTGCGCTCGCATCAACGACGTGACTGGTGATATCGCTGTGTGCCGCGGCAACTGCATCAGTTTGTACACGCTCAACGGCGCGTTACTGCTTCGCCAGGGTATCTACGAATCGGCCGACGATAACATCCTATCGTGCGTGTTTTATGAAGGGGTTAGTGATGAGTGGCTGGAGCGAGAGCTCTTGTTTACTGGTCATCGACGGGGAGTAGTCAACGTAGGTTCCCATTTCCTCGTTTGGGTATCATCAGTAGTACTAACGAGAGCAGATCTGGAGCAAAACGATCCTCGATGGACGGTTCGAGCTGGAATTGATCCGGCAGCTGCACCACACAGATCCGAACCGGGACACTGGAGAGAATATTACGGCAGGGATCAGTTGCATTTTGGCGCTGCCGCAGGTGGTATATACGGGAGATGAGGTCGGGCGAGTGGTGAGTTCTGTCCTATCGATCGATTTATATACATTTGGCTAACCGCTGTTATTCAGTATGAATGGAGTTGCGTTCAGCGTCGGTAGAGATCACAATAAATGGGAAGTAAAAGTATATGCCCTGTTATTAGATTCGTGTATTTGAATATATATCTTGATTTGAGAAATGCTGGGAACTCAGATGATACCGGAAAGAGAAAGCGGCGGCTCCATGTACCTAAAGGAGTATGTAAAGGGTGCCGGTGAAGGGGGATTTATTAGTCCGACTCCACTTACTGTCATACGGAGAGAGAGGTTCCGGAGAGAGTACACCGGAGCAGTGCGCCCCGGAGTCGGAACCAGAGGGAAGCTGGAGAGTGTCAAAAGCCGTCGGATATTGGTAAGAAGAGGCAAATAGAGGGAGAGAAGGGAATGGAATAAGGCGCATGGAGGACAGGTATCCGGCAGTAGAAAAAACGTGCCTGCAGACAGTGCTCCGATATGTACTCCGTATCCTGTAGCTGTATCCGTTGTTGTGCTTGAAGCGTCATAGCCCCACCATTCTACGGCAACCCCTCCTATCGCCACGGTTTCTCTTTATATTTTCTCTCGTCGTTTCTCTTCTTCATCTTCATTCAACCTCTTCTCTTCTTCTCTTTCTACTAAATATCTAATTGATACCCTATAATCATCATGTCTTCTCTCGATCAGCTCAAGTCCAGCGGCACTGTTGTCGTCTGTGATTCTGGTGACTTTGCAAGTACGTTTACAAACACAATTGAAAGTGAGGAATGAATGCTAACGAACACAGCCATTGGCAAGTACAAGCCTCAGGATGCCACCACCAACCCCTCTCTGATCCTGGCTGCCTCCAAGAAGCCCGAGTACGCCAGCCTGATCGACGCCGCCGTCGCCTCCGGCAAGAAGGAGGGCAGCACCGTCGACGAGCAGGTTGACGCCACCCTCGACCGTCTCCTTGTTGAGTTCGGCAAGAAGATTCTGGAGATCATCCCCGGCAAGGTCTCGACCGAAGTCGACGCCCGCTTCTCCTTTGACACCCAGGCCTCGGTCAACAAGGCCCTGCACATCATCAAGCTCTACGAGGACCAGGGTATCTCGCGCGACCGCATCCTCATCAAGATCGCCTCCACCTGGGAGGGTATCCAGGCCGCACACATCCTGCAGACCAAGCATGGCATCAACTGCAACCTGACCCTCATGTTCTCGCTCGTCCAGGCCATCGCCGCCGCCGAGGCCGGTGCTTTCCTCATCTCGCCCTTCGTTGGCCGTATCCTTGACTGGTTCAAGAATGCGCACAAGAAGGAGTACAGCGCCGAGGAGGACCCCGGTGTCAAGTCGGTGCAGGCCATCTTCAACTACTACAAGAGGCACGGCTACAACACCATTGTCATGGGTGCTTCGTTCCGTAACGTTGGTGAGATCACCGAGCTTGCTGGCTGCGACTACCTCACCATCTCGCCCAACCTGCTTGAGGACCTCTACAACTCGACTGCTGCGGTCCCCAAGAAGCTGGAGAGCGAGAGCGCTGTCAAGCTTGACATCCCCAAGCAGTCGTACCTCAAGGACGAGGCTCTGTTCCGGTTCGAATTCAACGAGGATGCTATGGCTACTGAGAAGCTGCGCGAGGGTATCAGCAAGTTCGCTGCTGATGCTGTCACCCTCAAGAACCTGCTTAAGCAGAAGGTTGAGGCTTAATTTGTATTATGATATCCTGTAAAATGGCGGTTAGTAGATACGATTTATGAATGCTTGTTCTACTATTTTCTATTCTACATTAAGGCTCCGTAATACTCTGCAGAGGGAGAGGATTCTAATTCCGACCGGGAATGACGGCGGCATTGCGTGCTTGGCGGTGGGGCAGCGAGGTCGGAGGTACTATTATGTAGAGAACCAGTTTATACCTCTACCCTAGCAATTATAATAGTAGTAAATGTATTGGAAAATAGAGCAATCTGCACAATTGAATAGATTACAAGGTTTATATTTATGATTGAGATATATGTGAATATAATTGTAGAGGTGGTAGCTAGCAGTGACGCAACGGGACGTCATGATCCGAACCCCGCCGATGAAGAACTGCGAAGAAGAGAGAGTACTAATATGAGGTGAGCGATGAGGGGAGGAGGGGAATGGAGCATTACATTATCCACCCGGCCTAGTCTTTTCTCCCTCGTCCTTTTTGTTCTTCTCTTCTCTCTTCTCTCAACCATCACCATCGTCCATAATCCATCTTCTACAAATCTCTATAACCTTTAAACACTAATAAACGTCAAAATGGTTAAGGCTGGTAAGTATTTCTATTTCTGTCGTCGATTCGCTGGTTCGTGATCGACCGGGGGACCTTGAGTGAGCACATTTGAGCACCTTGTGGCCTTTTGAGCTCTTTCTCTGCCTATCACGGTCTCTCGACCAGCATTCCAGAATCATTCTATAGAGAGACTGCTAACAACAACCAGTGGCTGTCCTCCGTGGTGACTCCAAGGTCAACGGTACCGTCACCTTTGAGCAGACCTCCGAGACCGCTCCCACCACTGTCTCGTGGAACATCCTCGGCAACGACGCCAACGCTCAGCGTGCTTTCCACGTCCACCAGTTCGGTGACAACACCAACGGCTGCACCTCTGCCGGTCCTCACTGTATGTCCTGTCCCTGCATCCTACCCAAAATAACGAGGA